CAATTACAATTAAATATATGTTCTGTGATTAAACTGTTCTGTGATTGAACTGTTCTGCGAGTGAAACTATTTTAAATTGGAGTATTATTAAAAGGTAAGTCAAAACAATCAAGTATAATTTACTGAAGGGAAGTAGACTGAATGAAGTAATTGTTATGTAAACGACATTATGTCCGAAAAATGGGTTAATCACGGAATGGCTTGAAATAACACAAATCATCCGTGGGAATGGCGACACTTTCACGACTGCACCCTTGAGAGGTGTAATTTGGCACTTTGCACGATCTAATCTAGTTTCTCCAGACGCACTCGCTTTCGTCATTTGTCCGCTTGAATTTCACTAATTTCTGTAAGAGCGCCACGTCCGTCGATTACGATCGAGATTGCGAGTTTAAGATATTACTCGGTCATGTGTTTCAGGTAGAATCTTTAAGTAGATAGTCTCGTGACAATTCTCGAGACATTAAGCCAAAAAGGACGATTTAATGATCCATATTTCTTTCAGAAAGAAGTGCCTGAGTATATCACTTACACTTACACAATCTTCTTCTTACAAAAAAAAAAGTAACGCAGTTTTTAATCAGGGAGAGAATACATTTAAGAATATACTATCATATATAAATATTAAGTCGAAAAAAATTCCCAGAAATAAAAACCAATTTCTATTCTATTACACTTTTCGAAATTTTCGGATTTTAGAACACTTTTAGAATGATAATTTGTGGATTCTAATATGATAAAATTCATGAATTTTGGTTTCCTCATTATTTTTCACTAGTTGAAATTAGAAAGCGATGAATTAGAAGATGAATTTTTAACAATTTCACGGATAAAAAATTGTTGGAACCCAATTGTATCCGTCACATTATAAAAACAAAGCAAATATTTTGTAAAAATAAATTATAAGCTTCTAGAGAGAAAAATACCATTGGAGGTTGAAACTGAATTTTGATGGCCTAATTAATAACAATATTGTGTAAATTTTGTACACTTTTTTCAAACTCAATAAACTACGCGCAGATTTTTTGTCAGTCTGCAAAATAGAGCTTGGAAACAACAACAAAAATTCAGATTTAAAAATCATCGCTAAAGTGATATTTTTCCCCAATAAACTTTTTACAGCGATTTAAAACGCTCATTATAGCATCAAAATTTAAATTGATCGATCTAAGTATGCAAATTTGATGTCCTAAATAAAGAACTGTGTTTTAAAGACCAACAAAAAATCGGCGCATAATTTATTGAATTTGGAAAAAGTACAAAATTTATACAATATTATTGATTAGTTATAAAGATCCGGTTTGGGCTGTGTGTAAATGGTGTTTTTCTCTCTAATAGATTGTGTCATAACTGTTTTGTTTTGTTTCACTTACTATTATCGTTCAAAATAAAAGCTGTCGAGTCTTTCACTTAAAAAATTCTTTTACCAACTCGAAGTCGATCTTTTCTTATTCTCGATAAAATTTTCCGTTCGATCTAAATTAGAGCAAACAATTCACGTATTTAAATGCATAGCATTCAATATTCAATACACATAATTATTCAACAATACAATACATATTCTAATGTAATTTATAATTTAGCATAATGTTACGAATTACAATATCCAATGATAATCTTCATTGTTCACATTAATTACCGTGAAATGTTTGTCTAATTTTCTACAGCCAGATGTAGTTTGTGACATTCGATAATCGCATCATTCAGAAAATGCGCTGAGAAAGATATCAAAGTTGTTGGGAAAAAAAATAATAATCTCTCGACGCAAATATAGATATACGTCACGAGATTTTGCCTGCTGCGCATCTCGTTAACGAGGGTGCTCGTTATCATTAGGATACCGCAATGACATTCCGTAGTAATGATCTTGCCGAGGGCAAGATCTTACGGGATCGGGCACGCGGGCAGGCGACGATGATAACGATAACGTGATGGATTGCCATTCAAACATTTCAAAATGTCAGTGATCAGCGATCCTCGAGGATGCATTCTGCGGGTCGCGGAAATAATCTCACGATCGGCGACGCGGAACAATTGCGCAACGAGATGGCAGGGAGATTCTCAAGTCCGCTCACGATCACGATTTCGAAGCGGATTACGGAGGCGATGCGACGCGACGGACGTCGCGATATGACGTCTGTGCGTCTGGAAATATGTCGCAGAATGCCGTGGCATGCGCGCGGCCTGCTACAAATTTATTCCTCACGATGATATACGCGTTACATCACTACCGGATGCCCTCTCGCTCGCCGCGACGATAGACGCGCGAAGGGACTTAAACCCAAGAGAAACGGCGGTCGCTCTCCCAATGCCAAGGCGACGATAGTCGCAGGGCGATTTAATGTGAACGATTAAAAGGATTCTGACGAAGTAGAATCGCAAGTAAAATTTATAGTCGCGACAGCAATATTTATAGTCGCGCGTCTTTAATCCACACGAACTGCACACACACGTTATCTCGTTGAAAGATTTATCGTAATATCGCGTACTACGAGAGATTGAATTTATGAATACGCGCTCGCGCAATGTGTTTTCCTTCGTGTAATTATTACGAGCTGTATATATACGTTTTGATACATTAATTTATTGTCATGCACGAACTGAATTAGTTTTAACCGTGATGTGACTGCAGTTCTGTCAGAGTGATAATTCTCCAAACATTCGATCTGTTAATCTTGTTTACGTTCTTGGTATTTTTTTACATTGCTTTGTGCATAAATTTATTCAATTTCTCAATATAACGATACTTATTTTCAAAATTGTGCAGAACAATAGATTTGTACTATTTAAAAAAGGAACGATTATATTGAGAGCGTTCTGAATTACTGTTACAGAATTATAAATATTAATCTTAAATAATACTCTCTCGATTTATAAAACTGACAATGCCTTGTCCTCACTTTGATAGTGTCTTTTTCCCATATTTGATATCAAAATAAATATACTGTTAACTTAATTTGAGTCATTTTTAACCCTTCCTATAAATCGCCACTGTTCCTACTCTATATCGTTAATTAACTAAACTAATGAAGTTAAATAATACTACTTTATGTTAAAATAAATTTCGACACACATGGTAGTTAAAAATAACAAAATGTTATTTAACTCAAGGTATTGATTCAAATTTTATCCTTTAATATATCCTAACAGTGATAGAAATGCGGCTTGTTCAAGAAAGAAATTGAATCGACGTCAATCGGTTCATCGATCGCACTTGTCCCTCTCGAGGTATCTCTTCGCTCTAAGCGAGAGGCATCGCTTTCGGACTAGGGAGGGGGATATCTTATTAACAACAAAGAATATCGCTCGTCTGGAGACCGTTTAAGTCCCCGCAATGCCGCGGGGGTGTTCAATTACCAATGACGGTTGCGTGCCCGGCCCGGCGCGGTGCGTCGCGGCGAGACGCTGGTAGACGAGACGCGATTATCCGCGTGTAACTCTCCTCGGGCCTGCGCCCGATGTAAAGCCTATTCTACGACGGTTAATTTCATCTTTCTGCGAGTCTGCGTTTCGCGGCCCGCGTAGTCCCCGGCGACCGGGAACACGTCACCGCTGATGCAGCTCGCGTTGCGGCTAGCGTTTTGCGTTTTGCGTCCATTGTAGAATAGGCTTAACGCGTACGTCGCCCGTCAACTGCCCCGATATGAGAACCCCGAGACTAACGCGTCAACTGCGGGACAATCTAGCCATCAGTCTTAAACGGAATATATTTACGAGGCCGGGCCGAGAGAGCGCGGCGATGCCGTGGAGCTCGGATGACATCACGGCATCCGCTTTCCTCGGCTCGATCCCTCCCCGCGGGAAGGGGGCCCCGTCCTTGTCGTCCCGCAGGCCTTGCTTTTCACGCACGCGTTTACCTGGTTTACCTTATTTCGCGACAGCGCCGCGCCGAATAAAGCGCAAGCAGATTCGCGGGAAACCTTCGCGGGAAGAACCTTCGCGCGAAGTACCCGAACGGCGAGGTCGAATCGTTCGATACGCAGCTGGATCGACGGGAATTCTCTGGCGTTTGATTGTAATGAAGGGCGATCGGGGAAAACCGGCTGCCCTTAAACCGGTTAATTTCGAAAACCGAGGCAACCGGAATTAACCGGATTAATCTGATTGCAATGGCTTGATACGCGTTAATTTTAGCTCGCGAACTCAAAGGGAAACCGGGCGGGATTATATGTACGTCGTTGAAATTACGTGAAGTAATCCTCTTAATGAAATAATAGAGCAGCTTTGACAAGCGTTTGCCACGAGCATTTCACAATTTTGTAGAACCCGCGTCATCGTCGAAGCTGGTTTATTATCCTGACTATTTTGTCCTTCCATGCGTTTTGATGACGCTTTGATCCTCTCCAACCGCTCGGTGGCTTGAAAGTACTTATCCCCCGTTAAGCAAAGAGACGAAATAAAGATGTTCGCAAAGTACAGCTGTTAAAGGTGTTTTCGGCGTCAAAATTGCCGTATGATTACGCGGTAATTTCACTGCCGAGGAAGAAACAACCATGTTTCTTACACGTTGAAGTAGACGGTATAAGTGATATCTGTGTGAAAGATATTCGGATTGTGTTTAGCCGTAAAAGTCGGTCACGATGGTGGAATAATCCGTCAGTCATCTCGCCTCTCGCGTCTGTCTCAGGTTGGACGGTAATTGTCAGAGAAAGCTCATTATTGTATCCGGGGAAGACCTATTTTTAATATAATAATCGGCGGACGGGACGAAGAAAACTCTCCCGGTTCTCGACGGAGAGCGCGCGATGACCGACACCGGCTTCGACCGGGAAAACCCCCGCATTCGATAACCGCGCCGGATAAGGGAAGGTCGATAAACGTCGCGCGGGTGAGCCACCCTGTGGAGACCGACCAGCCCGCGTCGTGGAGAACTCTGTTCGGGGTTCTCTCCAGGGCGGAGGGTAATCGGCGGGGTAGCGCCTGCGCCTGGAAAACTACCCCCCCTCCCGCAAATCTACCCCTGCTTATCGCCATGTCGGGACCGGCAGTTCCATCTCGGGCGTACGCGCCGCAGGAAGGTCGGCAATTTCTCTCATTGTCCTCGTCATCGTTGTCACCGTCGTCGATTGTCCGGTCGGGCGCAGTTCCCCCCCGTCGCTGGACCGTCGACAAATATGCGGAAAGGTTGGCCGAAGGGTGTCTGAAGATGCAGCCTCGCTCGGCCCCTTCGTGCGGGACGGAAATCGAGTCGCGTCCACGTTGTCGTCATCATCATCGTCGTCGTCGTCGTCGTCCTGACGTCGGGACGCCGTCGTTACCGCTCGCTGGTCTGCAAATCGGTCCCCCGGGACCGGCCACCGCCGAGGGATGCTCGCGGAAATGGTCCGGCTCTCCTACCAGCACAGGGCGTTCTACTGCTACGTGATTCTGAGCGTGTGGATCTTTCTGCTGGTCGCTGGTAAACGCAACCAACGTGTGCCATCCCGCTGAACGCTGACAGAGATCGGACCTCTGCCGTATAAAAAACGGTGTAAAATTCGAGTCGCGTTCTCTTCCGATCTCGATACCGCGGTTAGGCGCGAAGATGATTCGCACGTATCTATCTGCGACGCACGAGACTTCGTCGCGTCTTACGTCGCAAAAAAAAAGGATATCGAATTCGCGTCGCGATTGATCGGGACGAAAAGATATTATCTTCGCGTCGCGTTTGTGCAATTGTCTCTCTCGGATTTGACCCTGTTATCTGAATTTGTTATCGACGAATTCCCTCCGGGGTGCTTAAATCTTTTAAATCCCTGGCACGGGTTTTTTATTTTTAAATGTAGGGTAAAACGTGGATATATACGCTGTCGCGCGGCGCGCGACTACTTGAACTCTTCTCCGCTCGCGTTATCACTTCGGCTTTAATAATAGAGAACCGTAATAATAGAACACTTTAGTTTTTCAATAACGTATTACACAGCTGGACGTTATCAGGTGACATCAAAGCGACGACTATTTTAACTTTCTTTTTGTCGTGGAGTAAGGGAAGTATCCAATCATAGCCGACATCATAGTCCAATCATAGCTGACATAGTATGCTAAATCGACCGCCAGGAAAAAACAAATTCATTGTAATCTATTCGACAATGAACTTTTCTATGAATACATCATTTTTTGGCGAAATATAAATGCAGGGTGGAGCTAACATTTTCCCCTAATACGTCAAAAGTTTTATTTTAATATTAATATGTACTGTCCGACTAAAATGCTTTGAGGAGAAAAAAATTATTGCGCTTAAATAAGAGAACGTCGACCTTTTTGAAACCGGCGCCTGATAATAATATCAATCGTAAAATGATATGAATATGAGTAAAATTATGTGAAATAAGATTTTATCGTTTATAGATTATATCGATTATAGAGATGCAAGTTTAATTATTTTAATATTAATATCATTATAGTAATCTATTTTATTAATAATCTATTAAATAATACACAGCATTAATCACATCAAATTAAAATGCATTAGAAATTCTAGTGCATGAATAAAAAACGTTAGGAGAACGTACTTTTTGAAACCAGTGCTTGAAATCGTAATAAAAATATGAATAAAATTAGCTATTGATTCCAGATGTATAAGTTAAATTATTTTAATATTAATATTAGATTAAATGAAAGTGCATTATAGAGAAGGAGAAATTACAGTACATAAATAAAAAAGTTATAGGAGAACGTTGTCCTTTTTGGAAACTGGCGCCTAGTGATATATGAATCGTAATACAAGTAAAATTACGTGAAATAAGATTTTGTCGTTAATTCAAAGGCTGCCGATTATAGACAATATTTTTTTTTCGTGCAGGTATGTACAAGTATATCGGCGTAGATGAGAAAACCTCGGTGCAGACGAGAGTACCGAGCAATGATTTGTCGCTACGGGAATTCCCAAGAAATTTGAAACCAGACACGAAGACGAAGAAGATCTTTCGTTTCTGCAATTTGCCGCACGAGATAGCCGCGGACACCGAAGGTACCACCATGCAATTATCCTACTTTTGCATTAAAAAAAAAAACGAACCGAAAATGTAACGATCCCCGTCACGATGACCGACACTTTTTACATCATTAATCAATAATTCTCATCAATCATGTTAAAACGCTATCTAAAGTATCAAAGAAGTCGATCGTCAAAGCCCCCTCGCGCATAATCGCGATAAATAGTAAATGGGCACAGAGTCAATAATCCCGTTTGATCTCACTCGAGCTAGAAATCGGTGTAAATCACTTTCATCTTGCACAAGCGTGCGTTTAAAGCGTATACGAGAGTTTCAAAATTGTCTTATTATTATACGAGATTGCACGTAATAACGCAACGTAAAATATCCGCGTTACCTCGCTTTCCAACAGGGAAGCTCGACGGCAACCTGACGCTGAGCGGTATCCTGATCTTCATCCGTCACGGCGACCGGGGTCCTCTCACGCACATACGGAACATAAGCAACATAAATTGCGGGGGCGGCGACCTCGGGACCGCGACCGACCTCGAGACGATCTACGAGAACTACGTGAGCTTCGTGCAGAACGCGTCGAGCTACTCGCGAGCCGCCTGGGCCCAGTTCCTGGGCCCGTTTCACGGCCTCCCCGTGTTGCCGGCGAACGCGCGCGACTGCCGGATCGGCCAGCTCACCACCCTCGGCGTTCTGCAGCTGCTGAAGACCGGGGCCGCGCTGAGAAACGCGTACTACCATCGGCTCAACCTCGGCAACGGCACCTCTTTCGGCAAGGACGTTATCGTCTACAGCACCTCCTATCGCAGGACCGTGCAGAGCGCGGTCGCGCTGCTCTACGCGCTCTTCGAGAACGACGGCTTCCAGAGCTTGACGAGGATCAGCCTGCAGGAGAGCCAGAGCTATGCATTCTGCGGCAACGAGTGCGCCTGTCCCGCCGCCGAGAAGTTCCTGAAACAGCACTTGAAGGTAGATAGTAAGCAAATTGAGATAGCGGTATATCGGCAGATTGATAACAGATTTGATCAGACATGTCAGCAGACTGATATCAACTGTGTCCGCATTCAGCTTAGCCAGCAGAGTTTGCTAACATAATCAGCAGATTTGCAGCAAAAATCGCGCAAAGTTCCTGCAGGGAATATATCTTCTCGATTTTTGCCACCAATCTGCTATCTGATTATGTTAGTAGACCCTGTTATATATTTTTGTTGACGTTCTGTTGATATCATGTGACGTATATGAGAAAACCGGCATCTAATCTGTAGTCTTTCTGCCGACAATATTTGTAGTAGATACTTGTAAAATATGTAGCATCTGCTTTCGACAGACTAGCCATCTGGGTATGCGTGGAATGAACCTGAGAAATCGCTTCGTAGATTTCCCGCATATTTGATATACAAAAGATAAAGTCACGTTTGACATTGTTTGAAATTCGAGCAATATAACAATTCGCAATCGTTTACAAATCTACACGACTGATACGTTCGTTTAAGAAATGCAATCACGAAACAATCTTTTATGCGAAGTAATTTAAATCCGTCGGATCTCTCGCGCAGTAGTTTCGTTTCAGTTTTTTAAAGATGTATGTATAAAAATGGACTTGTCGTCTTTCCACCTTTTTTTTTTAAAGGGAGAGATCCGATAAATTTACATTTACGTTATTCCCGTCTTCCGAGGAAGTTTTAATGACCTGAGATCTCATTCCAGTTTTCTCGGAAACATGTTAAATAATCTGCATCAACATCGCTCTTCACCTTGTGCTCTCTCCAAGGAAATCCAATAAAATTATCTGGGTCGTTCTAGGCTGGCAAACGCTGGATTTCTCAGCGCGTCATCTGAATAAAATACTTGTGCACGCGATAATAATTTTTTCCACGAAAATAATCTTGCCTCCGTAACCCCGCGGCCGCTGTCCGTGCACTGCACGTGACACGCGGAGGACGTATCGCATGTTTAATGCACACGAGAATGATCTTTTTCGAAAATTTCAAGAGAGCTCGCGCCAACGTTTTAATAATTAATTTTCTCATTAAGATCCCATGGAAAAGTTCAGGATCTTCAATTAGAAAATTAATTATGAGAAAAATTATTCAAAGTCATATTCAAGAGCCGCTCGACTGTAATTTTGACGATAATTCTATTGGTGAACTTTTTGCCGAAGTGCCAGCCAGCATTTCCCGTAGTTATTGGTATCGTAAGAATAATTCAGATCTTAATAAAATATTCGTGGAGAAACTCCGGGGGGAGCGATTCGCGATAACGTCGGAGGATCGTGCGACACTCCGCAGACACGTTACTTCCACTTTTCCCCCCAGGAGACCTCCAACCATCTGAGATCCCATCCGGCCGTCGGGGAGCTGATCAAGCAGGCGGCGAGCGCCGTGTTCGAGCTGCCGGATCAGGCGCAGACCTGCGATCCGAACACGCTGCGGGACGCGTTGTTAACGTACGTGTGCCACGGCGCCTCGCTGCCGTGCGCGGACCTCGACTCTCAACGCACGTGCGTGAAGATCGACCACGTAACCGGGCTGTTCGCCTACACGGACTGGGAGTCGAAGCAGGCCGCCAAGAGCACCAGCCGCAACAAGTACGGGCTGCTGAAGGCGTACGGGATGCTGCGCGGCATCGTCACCTTCATGCTGCGCATCATCTCCGAGGCCAGGCCCAAGATCGTCCTATATTCCGGCCACGACAAGACCCTGGAGTACCTCGCCACCGCCCTGGGCATAGTCTCGGACGTGGCGACCCACTACGCCTCGCGTCTCGTCATCGAGGTCTACAAGATCAATCCGCGGAACGACAATCGCCTCGCCAGCGACTTCTACTTCCGCGTCGTCGCCAACGGCCGGGACCTCACGCCGAAGGTCCCGTTCTGCAGGAACGCGAACACCTACGTCAGCGACGACGGGGAACTGAGCGTGGGCAAGAAGGGCGTCAAGCTGTGCCCGATCGAGAACATCGTCAGGCAGCTGCACGACGACTATTTCGTGCCGTTCAACGCGACGAACTTTAAGGACGCATGTTCGAGTCACAAGATGCGCTAAAATTAACGGGCATTCTCTAACTCGTTAAGCAAGATCGATCCCGTAAGAAAATAGGCGAATTAAAAGGAATTAGAGAAAGAGAAAGATATACATGTATACAATCGTCTTTGGTGGTAGTAAATATCTTATCTTTGAAATTAGAACTTCAAGACTTTAGCACTTTTTTAAATTCTCTTTTATCTCTTTTTATCTTGAATGTACTGGCCGTTTAATCATTACATTCGTAAATATTAAACACACAGAGAAAAATCGCTTTAACACAGTCTAATTTTGGATAAGGTATTATAACACTCTCTTAAAAATGGCAAATGGTTTCCCAGAACAAGAATAGGTAGAAACGAAAAAGAAGCATTTGTACAGGAACCGTAAAACCAGTCTCTCGTTATAGAGATCAGAAGTTCATTCACTTCACAAGGATGTGAATTCTTACCAATTCTTTTTAATTCACCTATTTCTCGAACGTCAGATAAGTATATCGAGCGGATCTCGAACAAGTTTCCAACTTGCACTAAGCATTATAGATAAATAAGCCGATGTGAAAGTAATTATTAACATTAACGTTCGAAATACATCTGAGGGAAGCTAATCCTTCAATTTTCCTAACAAATCTCTCTTACGCGGCGTAAACCACTTAAAACGTAATTTTCCCACCTAACAAGAAAGTATCTTGACTCTATCGCAAATAATCAGATTTACATAAGATTGTTCTTTTGACATTCGAGACAAACTCAGTTTAAAATTTTTTTTACATCTCGCTATATCGACGTACAGTTAACGAAATTTAAGATTGTCCGAAATTATAATAAAATTTAAGAAAAACGAGAAAAAAAGAGTACATAAGTTGCCATTTTAGCAAGGAGCAAGCCTTATCTTCATAGACATATACCTAAAACTTTAAATTACCGTATCTTTAGATAAATTTAGAGAAACGATAGCGCTAATGAGAACCGATTAGTCGATTATTATATATTTTATCATACACTCTATTGTATATATGTAAATATATATATAGTGCTTTAGAAATATATATACTATACTAAAAACGTAGTCGTATTCATTCCCCGACTAATTAATGCGCGTAGTACAATTACGACAAAACGAGAGAAACGAACGAGATTAACTGCGCTTTAAAGTATTTGACGAATGTCTTCATTCCGAGTGGCGGGGAATAATCTTGTTGTGATTAAATATGAAGACCACATCGTGGTTTTCATATTTAACAAAAGTTCAACATAGATATTAAAAAAATTGATTTTTTATTACAGGCATCAAGAAAACGACATGCAACTTTCGATATATAAAAAGCTTACAATCTGTTGGTAAATAAATAATGAACGCGTCTTACGGCGTACAAGGCACACAAAGTCACATATTTATACTTAAAATATACCTACAATATATCTATATAATTTACATAATAACAGTATACCGTAAATAAAAGCAACGTCTGATGGCTCAAAGCCGATTATGATTTACGCAGAAATTGCTTTTACTTCGCTGACGTTTGATAAAAGCCTCTCGTGTATCTTACAACGCTAAAACCTACTTTACATGCACACATCCTTCTTACTATTAATAACGTCTCATTATTCATGTTTCTCGCAATTCACAAGTGACACTTTGAGATCTTGCATCACCAAGATCAATAAGAGAAAGACAGCATCAATCAAAGTCTCGCATGAAAACGGTAATGAGTTAAAAATGTATAAAAACCGGCAGTCTATTACAGAGTCCGTGTAAATGCCCAGTTTCAATTATTTCCGGTCGAGCTGACGAAATTTACATTCTTTTCATTAGTTGCCAATGATTAATTAGGACTGCAAATCGTGCAGTCGAACGGAAATAGAAATCCCATGCAGATCGATCGTCGACGATTGCCATTTAATCACACAATACACAGAACGCGTTTTATCAAAAATGATAAATATAATAAATGATAAAGTAGAATCGGACAACTTCACATTGCAAAGATTCAACCACTTCAAAAACGCGAGTATATTAAATGCAGTGTATCAATAAGAGAATTTAAATTTTCAAGAATTTTATAATTCGATAGAAAAACGCTAATTAACTTTCATTATTTAACTAAAATCTTAAGATGTTGAAATATACATATTTAGGGATCCAAAATTAATCACGTTTCGAATATATTTACTTGTCCAAAAATCTAAGACTTAAAAAATCGCGCAGCCATTAAAAAAAAAAACGCGAACTGTATGACATACTATTCGAACATGATATTCGGAATATTAACACTGTACAGCTAAACTTCTACATATTTTAAAAATATACCTATAAATGTTATTCTGAGATAACATGACTAGTACCAGACTCTGCCATGACTGAGCCGAGTGTCTCTTTGAGAGTGTGGAAATTTCTTACTTCTTGGATTAATACTGCTCGCTACTTCCACTGAAACATACAATTCGATATATAATGTTAATTAATAATGTTAATAATTAATTAAAATAAAATGCGAGAAGTACATTTCGTATTTAACCAAACAGTCGAACTAATGTAATCACATTAACAAATAGAAAAATCTGATTTTTGAGTCAGCGATTGATTGAGCTAACTGATCATGATTTCAATAAGATAATATTTTCTCCAACAAAACTAAACAATGGAACATGTAATATTTCTAAATTAGAAGCGCATACTTTCTTGTTAAATAATGCTTATCCTATTTAGATATTTATTAAAGTTTTCGATATATAATCATCTTTCAAATCTTTATAGGTTTTATAAAAATAATATACCTGATTATTGTTTTGACTTACATTGTCGCCCTTTCTCTCACGGGCGGAGAATGATTCGATGCCAGATTCCGAACAGGTGGCAAATCACTTAATGGGTCGGTACTACTCATGATAGCATTAGCACCCACGATTTTCCCCATTCGCCAGCATTTGGTCAACTTTTTCATCCTGTGTACACTGATTATCGTGAACACAATAATCCTGAAACGCACCTTCCTATTCTGAGGCCTTCGCGCGTAAGAACGTTGGTCTCGAGTCAATTGCGCGAGCACGCATAGCGTATTCTCCTCACAATATTGATAGCTGCTGACCACGCACAGTAGGTACTTTTTCTGATACACCAGCGCTTTCCGTCTGCTTCTCTCTCGTAGATACATGCCATAGAAGTTTTGTAACTGGAATACAAAATTTACACATTATTGTTATCTACTCTTCAGCATAGACTTATAGTTAATTAATCTCTATATACAAATTGTTATGAAAAATATATAAATTAGACCACTGTTCTTTTAGTTCTAAGATACTGAATTATTTAAATTTTAAATATAATTAGATTCAAATAATTAAACAAAATTTTATACCCTCTCGATAGGTGGCATCTGGTGACTCGAAGCCTGCGTAATTTTCAATTTCTTCAATTGCCCCTCGAGCAATTTCACACGTTGCACTAACATTTCTCTGTCCATTTTCAGCTTGCCGAGTTTATCCTCCAGTTTACTCTTGTCGACAGCGTATTTCTCAGCTGCCTCGCTCAGTTCTTTAACTTTCTGCATGAAACTCGCAGGGGCATCCTTGACATTCTCAATTAAATCCTTAAGTTTCCTCTCTTTTTCTTTTGAAATTAGTAATCTCGTATTGAGCTCCGTCTCTCGCTCTTTCAAGGAATCTACCGTGCGCGCAAGCTTCAGCTCCCGGTTTGAGGACTTCTTCAGTCCCTGTTTCGCACAATTTAAGTCGGCCTCCAGCTCTATCCTAACTTCCCGGGCGATGTTAATCTCCCTGCGCAATTCTTTGATCTCGTCCAGCTCAGCGTCTCGTTGATCTTGCTTTTTGTTTTCGGTCAATACTTTTAGCTGCTTCTGTAGGTGATTACAGTCCTGTTCTCGCGCTCTCAACTCCTCTGTAGTTCTCCGCAGATCCGCCTCTAGGATTTCTTTCAGTCCGTTGGTCAACGCTAGGCTGCTGATAAGTCTTTCTTGTTCCTCCATTGCGATCTCTAACTTCTTCTCGTATTTACTCATTTCGTTCTCCAGTTTCTTTATATTCTCTCGTAGTTCCACATTATGTTCGCGGCTTTCCTCAAGATTTTCGCTCGTTCTTAAATATAAAAAGAAAGATTAGAAAACAAAATATTGCTTACGGAACAACATCAATCTCTCATGGTTATCTTGTTTTGCTAAAATGTAATTAAATTCTATCGGCATAGATATCAATGTTTGCCGAGGAAGGATTATAGACAGATAAGCATAACTAATATGTAAAAGTAATAAAAAATTAAAAAATAGATTAAAAATTAACGCGTACCTGTCCGATTCATTTTGAACGGTTGCAGCAAAGTTCGGCAAGTTTCTACTGGCATTTTCGACTTCCATTAATTTTCTCATGAATGTCAATTGTGAATCCAGATTAATCTGCTGTTGTCTCATCGATGCTAGATTATTATGGAGTTTCTCCTCGTTCTCCAGAGAGGCTTTCAACTTTGTCTGCAAGAACTCGATTAACTTAGTCTCCCGTATTCGTTCTACTTCCGCCATCCGACGATGTTCTTCTATCTGCGTCCTCAAGAACTCCACCGCGTTCCTCTCTGATACAAGTTCTTTGTCCAACTTAACCACCTTCTTCGTCTCCTCTGTCAAATCCGCTTTCAGTTGCAGGATACGATCTTCGTACTCAGCGATCTGATGTCTCATTATATCTCGTTCGATCTCTAAGTCATCCTTTAATCTCCTTAGTAATTCGTTGTCCTTGCGTATTTCATTCGTCTTTTGATCTTCGGTCGCTATTCCATCCACGACTTCATCATTCTTAATTACCTGCATAAGTTGCTTATCCAATCGTACGGAGAGATGCAATTCTCGCTGGACCATGTCCTCGATATCGCTATCCTCCTGCGAGCGTCGCGCAGACACATCTTGCAACTCCTTCTGCAACCTCTGCACTGTATCTCTCAGTTCCTCGTTCAGCCTACGTTCTTCCTTCAATTTTCTTCTCAGTTCCACAATATTACCCGATTCTTTCATTTTGCTTTTTATAGTCTCCAGTGCTCGCTGCAAGCTCTTGCTATCATCGCTCATCTGCCTGATTACCTTGTCCTTCTCCTTTAGGAACTCCTGCAGGTGATGGATCTCTTGATCCTTGTTGCTAGAGGACGACGGCGAGGACGTGCCCGACTGTACGTCACTCATTCGCCTCGCCATCTCCTCCAATTTACGAATAACCTGATCCCGATTGTTCAAACCATCTGTCAGCCGTAAGATCTCGTCTTGTAACTCGGTGATTTCTCGCTCGCGCACATGAACTTTTGTCTTAAATTCGTATAGTTGCTTGTTCTCGTTCTCGATCTCGATATTGCGCGTTTGAAGAGTCTCCAAGGCGATATCTTTATCCAGGACGAGCTCTTTAAATCTTTGTAGTTCTTGTGTCGTATCCTGCAGCAAGAAATTGCTCCTTTTCATCTGATCTTTTTCTCTAACTTCGATCTCTCTCTTCAGCTTCGTGTTGTTCGCGTTTAATTCCGTGATGATCCTTTCGTTCACCTGCATCCTATCCTTGTAATCTTCGAGTTCGTCCGTCTTCAGTTTCAAGATGTTTTCTACTTCCTCCAGATCCTTCTTTATTTTACTTTCCGACGCTTGAGCCAACTCGTATTGTCCTTTATAGAAATTTTTATCTCGCACCAAGTTTTCGACAGTCTCCTTAAACTCGTCCTGCAAGTCCTGATATTGTTTCTGCAAGGTGGTCAATTCCGTCTCGTACTTGCACAAAAGGTCAGACTTTGAGTCTAGCTCCTGTTGCACAGCTTGCAGTTGATTCGATATGTTTTCGATCTCCTTCATTTTTTCATTCAGTAATTCCTCGATTCGTTGAGAATCCTCGCTAACATCGTTGTTTTTGGGAGATGATGATTTTGACTCCTCTCCGAAACGCTGCAACTCCATTTCCGAGTGACCGACATTCCCATTACTGTAACTATGGGAATGCAGATCCAACGGTGGTACTTGCGTATCCATCTTATCTAGGTCGAGCAAAGGTGCTTCCAAAGTGTTGAGACTGTTCGTGTGTAACGTGTTCTTCGACATGGACGTAGGAACTCTAAAGCTAGAGATATTGTGTGATGTCACATGTGTCGCGTTAGGCGCTCGAATAGCTTCAGGAAATTCCTCACATTCCGAGTGAATAGAGAGGATATCGCTTAATGTTCGCGCACTGTTTTTGGCCTCTGCTTGTTTCGTTAGTTCTTTTAACTGCACGTCGTCCAAAGCGAGCGATGAATAGGCATTCAATTGTTTTTCCTTTTTGGAGAGCTGTTCTTTTAGATGATCGATCTCCTCGTTCTTATCCGCCAGCATTGTGTCGATCAGTTGTGGCAATTCTAGTTGAGTGTGCTCCTGCGTCCCAAGTTTTATCTGCAGCATTTTCTTCTCCTCTTGAACGAGTTTTAATTGATCTTTTAATCGCTCGATCTTCTGCAGTACACCATTTTCGGACTGTACGAAATTTTCCATTTCCGCTTCTTTCTCTGCTAACATTTGATTAGTCCTTTCAAGCTGGGCTTTCAACTCCTTCAACTCTATCTCTTTGTCGGTAATAGTTTGCTCCAGGGAATGATATTTTGTCGTAGCTTCATGCAACTGCGATTCCAAACGAGATGTTGCTTGTTTCTGAGCGAAAGGCGCGCTCTGTTTGTGCTGCTCCAAACGACCGCGCATCGCTTCGATTTGGAACAGTTGCTCAGATGCCGTCTGGTGCAAGATCTCTTGTTCCGCTAATAATTCCTCGTTTTGATTTTTCATTGTTGTTAACTGCATCTCCAAGTCCTTGATCCTCTTGAAAGCTACTTCTTCGGCACGTGCGTGTTTCAACATTTTGTCTTTCAGCTTGAGTACTTGATCTAGCGGCAGCATCGGTGGTGAAGACGGATCTTCCGGGGTCAAACATCTCGTCGCGTCGATTTGCTCTCTGATTGAGACGTCTTCGCTCGGCTGACTCAAACTTAGATTGGAACCACACATGTGGGCAGATTCCATCTCTCGAATTCTCTTGTCCAATTGATTTTGCATCTCATGCAATTCCGCTTTTATTTGCTTCAACACGGACGAATTGACGTTGAAGTGCTCTGAACTTAACTTGTGCTTACTTAATTCCTCCTAAAACACAAAGAGCTATTCTGTAACTATTTTCACCTCGCATATATTATAATTTACACATTTGCTCACTTTACTTACTTGTAAATGGTTAATTTGCTCGTTCAGATGTCTGTTCTCGGTACCAGATTTGATAGCATCCAGCTCTTGAACCAATTCTTGTTGATGCTTTGTCTGTGCGGTTATCACGGTTTCCAGTTGATTGATTTGCATTTGCAAGGACTCCTCCTTTTCAATCTTGGCTTGCAGCTGCTGCTCTAAGTCAGTAATAATCTCTCGCAAGACCCATATTTTATCCACCGCAGCCTTCAATTCACTCTCCTTCTCCGACTTCTTCGCCTCGGTGTCGGACATTAATGACGACATCTCTCTCATCTGAGATTCGAGAGCCTCCACCTAGATCATAAATCACATGTATATATATGCGAGTTATCAACGCATCGGTTTTACAGGATATCACCTATATCTCCAGTCAAGCGTGACCCAACACATAAAGCATGGGGAGTCGTGTAATGTATATTTACTTATATAATTTTAACTTAATGTACAGTGGGTAAGAAACAAAAATAACTACATATCTAATTAATAATAAGAAAAATAATTAAATTATGACTTAAAAAATAAAAATTACTCAAGAATGATGATAAATAAATAAGATACATGATTCTACCTAGAAGTAGTCTGAACTTCTTTATTATGCCATATTTAAGCACTTTTATTTATTGTTCAAGAAATTTGTAAAGTATTTAAAAGCATTTAGATAATTATATTGTAAATATATAGACAATTAAGTAAACAGTAACTTGTTACATAGCTTATCAAATAGCATTTTGGCAAACATATGGGTACTTTTCTTACCCACTGTGATGACGAAAAAACTGTAGAAAAAGTTAAAAAATCAAAGTAAATACAACACTCACAGCTGCATTGATGTCAGTCGTTTGAAGCTCAGGGACGTTTGAAGTTGTTTCAGACGATAGCTCAGACTGCTTTGTGCGACAAACAGAAAACCAAAACCAGAGTGCAGAAAAAACATTGTGTTAATACAATTAGTCGTGATGCGTGACACTAATTGCTGGCGATACAATTAATTTCCAAAATAATAGCCCTTTCCATTGGTAGTTAAATTTATGTTCTATATTATACTGCTTTCAAAAAAATGATTTTTTACTTTAGATTAAGAAACCTGCTGGTCAAAGTGCATATTCTACAAAGTACAAATTTTAGAATTACAGAATTTATATTTATATTATAAGATTTTATCTAGTATTTTCACTAAAATAAACCCATTTTTCATGGATCAATATCGTGCAATCTTTTTCCAGCAGTTTTAAGTCTATGTTAAGTATTAAATTAAGTGAACCACAGAAACCTAGTTAAGTTTTAGAGATGGCAGTCATTATGCCAGTTGCAATTTCCTGGTTAGTGCAATAATTACCATAGCGAATTAAAAAAGTCTGTATTAAATTAATTAATCCTTAGTTAGCTGTAAGCCAAATTATTGCATAATATTTCTGTTAACATTCTTTAAATTTGAAGAATCAAAATAATTTTTTTTTAATTTTTCCGAGGACGATCATACATATCGCAGAAAAATTCCGACGTATTTAAGACAGTGTTTTGCAGTCCTCAGCATATATGAATATCTTTTATCAATTGACATGAACTAATTAAGGATTAATTGAGAAATCCTAAAGCTAACCACAGCGGGTGATTATAAAAAGCATATCGTGTTTACTCAACGAAAAATCTTTTTGTTAAAAAAAATAAATAAACAAATAAACGGGAATTTTACCTCGGAAGTGATACGCATATCTCTTTCTTTGTCGCGCTCGCGTTCCTTGAGTTGCTCTTGCAAAAAGCGAATTTGTTTCGCAGCTTCGTCTCGTTCCATTTCACGCTCACTCGCTTGCTCGTCCAGAAAACGACGCGTCGCTCGTAACTGCTTGTCCGCTGCCTCAATCTAAACAAACGTAATTGTAATTAGAGATAATTATCGTGTCTCACGCGCGTCGACGCATGTAGTAAAAGTAAATAACTTAATAATTCACATTTGCTGCATTATTTAAATCATTTGCATGTAACGATAATCAGTTACATATCTATGTATAAGAAAAAAATGATAATCGTCCTTTTTAAATTTTTCAGAGTTTAAGATTTTTAATCGCTTTATAAAATTAGTGAGATCAATGCTTTAAATATTTTAAGAGGAATAAAAATAAAAATAAATTTTTGTGTATATATTTACAATCATTAGAAAAATAATATTCTCTAGTAAGAAATTAATCGTAACAATTCAATAATCCTTTTATTTTAGACTTTTCCCCATCTATAGTAAAATAAAATAATAGTGCAAACTGAAATAAAGTGCGATAAAATATAAAAATGTTAGTGATAAGTACCAAATTCTTTCAGTTGTTGAAGTAAAATTTCAGATGTTGAAGTAAAACAAAGAAAAATAATGATTATTTCAAAATGTTAACGCAGAAATATAATTTAATGTTAAAAATTACTTAATATTAATAAAGCATCTAAAATATGAAAAATAAAAAAATCTTTTTTTTTTAGAATTTGAGATGTAGAAGCCAAATATATTCAAATATCCATTTAATTAAAAATATGTGACAATAAAGTTAGAGAATTACGAAAAATTCTGGCTTCAACAAATTTTGGCAATTATAAAATAAGCACTAGAATAAAAAGTAATTCTTCTATGACGGAAAAGACATGTCCAATTGTAGCGACATGACACATTTAGATGTCTACAATATAGCATGCAAGGCAATTATTATATTTTGCAATAACATGCAATAAACAAACGTGGTAATAATTGTGTATGTTTTAAAAACACTATGACAAACGTATGTGTAATTAGAACTATGAATAAATATTAAAAATGAAATAAATTACATTTCAACGGAAGCTCGTTTTACACTTCTCGATTAGCGGGATGTTATGTTATACGTATTAATTTATTACAGCCGATCTGGAAGTAACTTACGGACAGCGTTTACAATAATATTAGTAATTCTATAATTTACCTTTTTGCAGCAAACCCTGTGAATGTATGGGGTAGGAGTAGGTTCTAAAGGTACCTGCTGGCAAGACAATAGAACGCCAATCAATCTTTTAAAACTGCATCGCAGAGCTCTGCACTTTTAATTTTGGAAGATGTCTCTTATTGATTAATCGAATACTTGTTTTACTGACGAATACTATTTTTTAATATGTTTAACTGCCATGCATGATGTTTTAATTTCTGGCTGTTTCACAAATTACTGAATATTGAACATCATTTTACACAGGGTGTATAAAGAAAAGTGAGGATTAAATAAAGTGAGTTCACTTTTAAACTGCTAAAAGATTCAAAATGTAATTAATAAAGCTCAATAAAGTCAAGAATAAAAATATTTAAAAATAATGGAGTATAAGAATATAAATAACACAAATAAAAATTAAATTTAAGTTTAAAATACAAGTACATAGAGATTTAAAGCTCTATAATTACACACACACACACAGATCTAAGAATTCTGGGATGAAAGGATCTAAAAATATCCCCCTTTCTTAAAACACTCTGTATATAATACTGTGCATAATACAACATAATTCTAATCCTGATACTTATTCAATGAAGTACTAAATTAATGGTAGATATATGTGTATGATATAAACAAATTTTTCCATAATTGCATTGTGTAAAAAAAACGTGCCATACAAATAAAAAAATGATTGTGTTAATTGTTGCTACACGGTAAAACATGTACGATGTAAATAATGTAAACACGAAGCTCGGAAATACAGAAGTATGTAGACTTAATGAATTACAAAGACAAGTTGTTTTCAATACACCGCAATATTCATCACCGTACTGACATACCAATATCGAATAATTAGAAATCATGCAACAATGCATTTTGAGTGAAAATAATAAATAACTACCTGTTGTTGTAAATCTTCCCTCTCTTTCCTCGCGTCGTCTATTAGTTTGTCATTTTGCCTGCACAGCTCTTCTATTAATTGCAGTAAATACGACACGTCGCCGCCGCCATTAGACAAGACATGTCTAGCTGTAATTTAAATAAAAATATCGTAAAAAAACATGAATAAAAAATATAAAATAAGCATTAAGTAATAAAAAGCATAGAATACTCTATGTGCCACCTTTACACCTTCGGGTAAAAAAAGGACAGACTAAGAAAATAAATATATATATATATATATATATATATATATATATATATATATTATATATTAATTTACACAAAAATCGTATAATTACCTTTTTCTTGCACTTGTGAAAGATCTTGCAACACAATGTCGCCCCTAGAAAAATCGCTTTCGCCGTATCCTTCCGTGACGACTTCTTTTTTACTTTCTGCGTTAAGCAACTTACGCTGAAGTTCGAATATATGTAATTTTAGTCGTTCTATTTGTTCTTGATAGTTTATTATCAAGGCCTCAGCGTGATTCAGTTTCAAGGAGAGCTCTTCGTTAACTTGGCTTGCTAAGAGATTCTCATTTGACGACAATGCGACCTTGTCCTCGACATCAGATAACGAAAGATTGAAGATTTGTGTGCTATCGGACTTCAACCGTCTCAAACAAGTCTTTAATTCTTTTCTTAATATTTCGTCTATATTTTCGTCAACTAAATTTTGCAACGTTTCGTTGTCGCTATTAACGATGGAAGTTATTTTGCTAGATTGTGGAGCAAAATGGACTCTCTTGATCTGTTGGGTAGACGGATTCTTGTGCTTTGTTTCAGGTAAAATAGTGCTGTCACTCTTGCTCAATTTTTCTTCCTCGATAAAAGCGGATTCTGACAATTGCCTTCTCAAAACTTCGTTGATCAGAGTGTTGTTAACTTCCTCTTCACAGATAGCAAAGTAATTAACCAATTCTCCAATTAGATTTTTAAGGGTTACACATGCCTTCCACAGATTGTCCCTAATAAAAAAAGAAATAACATACATAAGCAATGAAACGTTAGAGTCGAATGGGAGAATTGTGTAATTAGCTTAATTTTAATTAATTTAAATCCGGTTACACCAATGTCGCATAATTTTAATCTTAGCTCAACTGTCTTCTTTAGAAAGAGACGAAGAGTGAGTTATAAGCTAAAATTAAAGTTATGCGACGTGTTGGTGTACCCGAGTCTTAATGACTTATTTTCAGTGTATGTGTCAATCTAAATATTTAATATTTTAGTACTAAACATTTTTATTTAAACGATTATGTTTTTTATCTGTTAAACCAAAAATAATCGTTTCAATACTTATCAATTACCTTTCCTTCATGATATTTTCTGACACTCCGACACAACTAACTTCTCGGTTGTCGACGATATTCGATTTAAAACTGGCAATTTCCTTTTCATGTTGTTCAAGGATTCGTGTTACAATGCAGCTGTGTTCGTCCTTTAGATGAGCTAATTCGGCACTATGTATCTTTTTTAATTCCTCAATTTCTTGTTTGGCGTTGCTGGTAAATTTATCTCGCAATTCGAGTAATTCGGCCGGCCAATTAGTTTCTTTGTCAGCCTCTACTGATAATAGTGTCTGCAATTATAATAAATTTTACAGTAAACGTCATCATAGCTCCTAATAAATATATCTAGATAATGCTTATTAGTCAAAGTTTGTACGAGAACACACATACAGTAACATTCAGAAATTATCTTGCTCAAGAACATAACCGGAATGATAGAATAAGGTCAGATCCCTATTTGCGAAGCAAAGTGAAAAGATCGTGGAACAATAAACGAACAGAAAAAAAATTTTATTACATAAAATATGATTTATTATCCTTTTCTGTTTATTGTCCCACGATCTTTCCACATAACCGAAATGGTTTAATCCACATCTACCTGAATTTGTTCTTGAAGAGCGTTGACAATGTCCTGTCTAGCTAGCGCAATCTGCTCCTCTAATTGGTGATTGTACGCATCACGCAGGCTGGACAATTCACCATTTTCCAACGCTTCCCATTCTGTCTGACAATACTACATGCAAATAGGAAATCACACAGCGGTATGTTAGTCACAAGTAAATTCGCATTTCAATATAAGTTACTGAAATAGCACAAATAATCTATTTCATTGCTACACAGTAATGAAAAATGTATCAATTACAATAAACGAAATACAATCAATTACAATGTACGAAAGCATAGACACAGACAATTACAGATCACAAAAGATCGTGGAGATCGAAATTGACAATAAGATGAGAAATGTATTACAATACATTAACACATACCGATCACACCATGCGTCTAGTTTCATACATAAACATTCAGTACGTTATCGACAAGAATTGTCGACAAATCGGTATTATTAAAGCAAACTCATATATAAGTGGACAATTTTTCCTCACCTGGTGCATAGTAGGTACAGTCAATGCATGCTTCAGTTTTATCTCGATGTCGCAAATTTGACACTCGTATAGTTCTTTCTGTTCGTCGATCGCTTTCTTGTAATCAGCCTTGATATTCTGAATTTCATTTACTTTGTCTTCTAATTCCTGTCGTAACGCTCGAATGCTGCCCTCATATTCCGACTCGAGACGTGCGTCTAGGATCTTACTCCTCAGGGATTCCTCGATAGCGCTAGGTGTAGCCGCTCGGGAGTTCGAGACATTTAAGCAATCTCCGGCACCACCAAAATACAGATCGTCTGTCAGCTCCTCGGTTTCACTATCGTTATCGGAAATCCGTTTCGATTGTTGACTGAAGATTTCCTCGGAATATTGTTTTTCCATCTGCAAGCATTTCCGCTCGAAGTATGTCCTCAGTTCCTCCATCTCTTTGGCATGACGTACTTCGAGTTCGGTTCTCAAATCGTTTAGGCTTGCATTACCATCCTTAAGGAACAAAAAATATACTTTAAAATAAAATATATCCTGCTCAACAATGTAAAAAATATAGACACAAATATCAGATCGAATTAGAATAAAAATAATAATGACTTGCCTTGAAATTCTGCAGCAACGAACGTAGTCTCTGAATTTCTTTCGCAGAATCCACTTTAACGGAATCCAGTTCTTCTTTATGTCGATGCACCATCTCCTCGATTTCCCGACTCAGCACCTCTTTCTCCGCCCACAAGTTTTCCAAGGATTTTTGCAGCGAGCATTCGCTGTCCTGTTGTTTCTGCAAAGTGGCATTCTCCGCCGAGGACTGCGTCTTATCGGTGGCTATTTTCTCGCATAGAGCGTAATAACGAGATAACTTTAACTTAACTTCATCCGAACTTGACTCGCCTTCTAGAATTTGTTGCAGCTCCTTATACAAGTTCTCGTTGTTTTTCAGATATTTATCCGTTAACGTGCCGGCAATATTCGGTTCCAAAACTTTCTTCTGACTTGCCACATTTTGATTTAATGCGCTATCATCATCCTGGCTCTGGTTCTCTTTAAGATATTTGGATGAAATCGTGCTGTTCAGGGAAATGTTAACTTTACTACTATCGCTCATCGTTAGAGTCTGATTCAATCTTTCTTCAAATTCGGCGCACTGTGCCCACGCGTGAGCCAAGCCATCCCTCAATTTCTCGCACTGCGTTTCCGTCTTCCTCGTTTTTTCGTCAGCTTGTTCTAGTTCATTATTAGCTTTAATTAAGTCTGCTTCAAGAGTCCGAACTTTCTCAATCAGTAGCCTTTCCGTTTCCATCTTCTCCTCAAGCTTTCGCCTCGTCATCTGATATTTCATAACCTCCTCATCGAAGGTCTTATACATAGTTTCCCCAAGTTCACTGACAGTGCTTACGCTCGTAATGTCAAATCGTGACAAGGACTTTTCCATATCGTTGAATTTACCGCTCAGAGTCCTGTCGTTTAACTGACTGCTTTCAATGATCGATTGGGCTGTGGAATATCTGCACGAAAGATCGTCCAGTTTGAACTTTAAAGTATCATTTTCCTGCTTTAGAGCAGCGGCATTCGATAAAGCCTGTTCTAATGATCGCTCGATACTTTCCTTGGATTCCAAGATGCTCATTGATGTGATATGCTTCGAGGTCATATCTTCCAACTGAATTTTGTGCAGTGTGATCTGTTCATTTAACAAGTCCTTCTCCTTCTGGAAATGCAAGTTTTGCATACGTCGTTCGTTTTCAGCCTCGAATTTCAATTCGTCTATTTTCATTTTATAAAATTGAACCTCCGACTGCGCGACCTTCTGCGACTCGGTGTGGTTCACCAATTCTAGCTTCAACGCCTCGACGGTTTTCTTATAATGAGCTAACTGCGCCTGAAAGACAGACAATTCCTTGGCATGCCTGCTCTCCAAATCTGGCAATTCCTTGTTTAAACGATCGGCCAACGTTTTGTTTTCGTCCTTCAATATTTTCATGCACTCATCGTGCTTGGCTTTTAAATTCAAAATTTCAGCCTGGTTCTTCGAAGTTAATTCCTACGAATACAATATTTGAATGAAAAATCAATATAGCCACGACCTATTTTTTTAATTACTATAACAGCTCGTTGATAATTTTATTCTCATGAAATGCTTACCTTTAACTCTTGCTGGTGGCGTATAGCATTAGCGTTTGTCACAGTAGTAAATTTGTCTAAGATATGCTGCATGTCCTGTTTAATTTTATCAACACGTGCCTCATATTGTCTCTGTTGCTCCAGTGTCTCGTCGATATTCAGATTCTTCTCTGCGGCGCCAAGGCGAATTTGCTCGTTTAGATTATTTATTTGTATTTTGTAATCATTGATTTCTGCGTTTCGCGTTTCCCTCTCTATCTCCAATGTTTGCACATGCTCACGAATGTCCGTCAACTTCGCGTTTAATTGACGAATTAACGCTTCCTGTTCGCTCATCGTCGTTTCCAGGACCTCAATCTAAAATATTAGATTGGCAAGATTATTAATAACTGCAAGATGTAAAAATATGAAGTGCATTATTTACCTTTTGCTGTAAGTTCATGTTATTTATTGCAGGATTGTTGAGCTGCATTGAGTTTAAGGCATTAAGCTGCGCTGTTACAGCATCTCTAGCAGATAATGCCTGCTCTAAAGATGACGTTAAGTGCTCTATCAGGTTGTCGCGTTGATTTACTGCCTTTTCAAACTCCTGTAACTGTTTTATGAAAAGCACAACGTTATTTAGTTCCAATCATCTTATAACAATATAAAACTATTATTTATCTAAATTATCATTAGAGTTAAAAGTGTAACTACTATTATTACTGAAAGTAAAATATGAAATTAATAAACTAAGATCAGGCTCATATTTGCAAAAGCATAATGGAAAAGTCATGGGATAATAAATGTGAGCAGAAAATAATATTATTACATAAAATATGATTTATTATCATCCAATCTACACAAAATCTTCCTCGGCCAATATATAATGATATAAAAAGAAAAACTGTGCAGTTTGAAACTTTCTGCTAACTTTGATCAACTAATAATAAATTATATTTTATGTGATAATATTCTTTCCCGTTCATTTATCTCACGACCTTTTCACTTTAAAAAATTATATTTTATTAAATACATTTAAAAAAGAAATATCATATTAATTATAGAAATGTTTTTCAAATAAATGTTCATTAAAGATTAGAAAGTTACGTCTATTGTTCTAGAGCACGCGGTAGCGCGAGGTAACAGAACGACCATAAAAAAACAGTAAGTACAGAAATACAATAAAATAAAGCACAGTATATTTAAAGTCTGAACGTATGTACAACTATTTAGAGAAAAGTTAAGTGCCGTGAGTGGTAGCGCGCACGCGGAAGCGAAAAGCGGCTAAGTTAGTAGCACAAGCAGAGTCGATATCAGAAGTGGATCGCGAATAAAGTTTAAGCGGTTGCACGAGCGGTGATACAAGTGAACTGAGCGGGTGAACTTCGAGAAGAGAGCCTCCTCGACGCGGCGGCGAACCTTTATTATCTCCGAGACGAGGCTCTCTCTCTCCGGGCTAATCACCATTCATCGCGTTTAAAAATATTAAAGTTCGCGTTGAAGGATATTAGAGGACTCGGTGCGTCATTGATGGCCAAGGGTCGCCCGCGGAAACGTTCGCACCCAACATGCGCGGAGCTCGGATTTCGGAAGAGTGATTGGCTATCGGCGTCTTATCGAACTCACGGCTTTTCGTTCGACGATCCGAGGAGATCGTTGTTTGTTTTCAATCGCAATGTTTATAGCATGGATTTTTTCGCGTGTGAGAGCGGTTGCTCGACTTTGTTGTTGACGAAGGAATGTCAGCGAACTTTCCGGAATACGAATGATAAAAAAAAATCCATGCTATAACTTAAGAGCAATACAACTCATTTCAGGCAAAATTCTCATTTATTGAAAGCGTGCGAGTACAGGCATGCAATCGAAAGCAAATTTTGGTGCGAATTACCGCGATCTCAAACATTGATAGACAAAGAGATGTAATGTACTTACTTTTATGTGATACAAAGATATAATATCCCTGCCATGTGTACTGCTAGCCTGGCTTTGTGAAGAGTTTGGGGAGGCCGTCTCCGCTCGTAAGTGATCGATCTCTGCATTTAAGGCTCCGACTATAGCTTCCTTTCCTTGGAGTAATTCCTCGAGCTCTGCGACTCGCCCTGCTAATCCTTCCAAATCGGCATCGGCCTCTCCCTCGCTTATACTGACGCTGCTGTGCGTTACGTCCCTGGAGGATATGCCTTCGGTTACCTAATACAGCGACAGAAGACAAATGTAATGTAATTTACGTAGAAACGTCGCAAATCGAATAAACATTCAGACATGCAAAAATTATATCTTTTCCTCTTACCCCAGATTCTTTATGAAGCATAGACTTCTCGTTGTGCAACTTCTCGTTCTCGTCGTCGGATTGTTCTATTTGCTCCATGCCGGCGCCCTTGTCCTTGGTCGATCTTTTCACCTTGTACTTCTCCAACTGTAACAAGTTAATACAATTACGAATCTCAGGCGTTAATTACGAATGACAAAATGGACAACGCGCATAACGCAAAATTAACCTTTAGAGGCTGGGAAGCCTATTTTTAGGCTCCACGAGGAGCTTATTTTTCGTAGTATAACACTTCAACAAAAAGCCTGCCCATCCTCTAACGGTCTAAAGGTAAACAATATAAACAAGCAGCTCCAATTCGAGCAAGCTGCAGTAGCGCACAATAGAGACGATATTGGTAATGGAAGGAAAGGAAGGAAAGGAAGGAAAAAAACAAGAAGAAACCCTTACCATTTCTCTGCCGGCCTCCAGCGAGCGTCTTCTGCGCTCGTCCTCGTCCTGCGTCGCACTCATCTCGACGGAACTCGCGAGTCGGCGTGCATGAAGGGTGCAAAACAACACAAAATAAAGTAGTCGTCAGCCACGCGTTCGTCAGCTTGTAACCTGCTACATTTCAAATTTTACGCCTCCGCGCTGATTAGGCTTGACTGCCAGCTGTCATGCGGCCTTCACTCGTAAACGCGGTATCACTTGCCTCGCCCGATCAAGCAATAAAAGCACGAACTTCCGGACTGCCTCCGCGGAGTATTCAGAGTTAATTAAAATGCTCGATGAAAGCGGTTGGAAAGGCGGTTGGTCTTGGTCTAAAACGGTCGCGACTCGCGCGGCAGTCAGTCGTGCCAACCTAACCTACACGACGAGCAAAAGCTACTCGAGAATCTCGAGATTCGATTTAGGGGATCGATCAAGAGGTCGATTCTGTATTTTGAGACGAGGTGAAAATAATTACAAAAGTGAACATTGCAGATTTATTTAGATTTCGACAAATGAAATTGTAGATTCTCAAGTGAATTTCCTCACTTTTGTAATTTTCACCTCGTCCCAAGATACAGAATCGACCCCTATATGTATCTTTTCCCCTAGGACGGAAACGTGAAAAATGAAACGTTTATCTCTTTCTATTCAACATCAATAGAAAGAGATAGTTACATGAAACTTTTCACTTTTCACGTTTCCGCTCTGGGGAAAAAGTTACATGATCGCTATCCTGATAAAAACGGTATCAGTAGTATCTCTATGATATCGATCGCGACTTTACCGACGCTCATGAAATAAAACAGCGACGTAATAATTTAATTTATTATTTGTTTGTAGTTTCTTCCAAAATAATGCACTATTTATTTAGGATTTATTTTCGCATTCGATATATTTTCTTATTATCGTTTTGTGCATCTAAATTTCTTTCTCTCTTCGAAATATAAATGCACAATCATGATAAGCATTTATTTTACATCTTGAGTTTGTAATTATATACAGAGCTTTTATACATCTTGGTTATTTTATTAATTATATATTTACGCTAAATAAAATTTATTTTATTTTCTAATAATTCTATTACGATTTCAGTTAAAAATTTCATATAAATAATCGAATATTTATATAGATTTTTTATAATGTAACATTTAAAAAGCGAGTACCGAGCAAACTTTTAATTATCTTTATCTTGTTAAACAATCATGCTTTATTTCGCTTTAAAATGTGCGAACACATAAATAATAAAAATTTTTAATCCATGCAATTATAAGAAAAGTTTACTCTCGCTACCCGGGAAAAAGAAATTATAATATTGATGTAATGTCTCTCTTATAAAGTTGACGTGTATGTGTGTGTGTTTACCGGGTAATCTATAAGATTAATTCAACTTTTCTTGAGAACTCGAATTCTTATCAAGCAAATTCCCCTTTCGCTGAACTTCCGTTATCAATTTACTGCGAACAGCGTAAATAACGTAATAACGTGTTGCCCAGTAACCTTTTGCTATTCTTATAACTGTACGTATTTATAAACACTTTATAACGGTATAAAAGTTCCGGGAAACTCGCGTGCTTTCAGTATATATCAGTTCTTTCAATTGATATATTCAGTTAATATTCAATGAAATTTGAAAACCGTGAATATAAATAAATAATAAAGACGAATTGCTAATAATTTGTCAATCTTATAAGAATAAAATAATGTTTTTTTTTTAAGGCAAAGATATGTCGTAAAAAATTATTAATAAAATAGAGACGCTTCTCTTTTCCATCTGATCAGATCGATCTAAAACATGTATTAGGCATTTTATCGAGATATTTGCATTTTACTTTAAAGATTAGAAGTTAGATTAGTGTACAAAAGCTCTAAGCACCAATGCGCCCTGAGTGCATCAATTAAATTCGCTATAAGTTTACACATCCATCATTAATTGAGTTTAGTAACTACCGTAAAACTTCAATTTTTAATATAGTATAGTATACTATACTATATTATATATATACGATTAGGACTATTTTCCCTGATTTTAATATTAAGAGATTATAGAGTCTTTCCATAATTTTGATTAAATATAATATCGCTAAAGATATTGATTAATTATGATAATACACATGTAATCAATTTACTAAAATGAAAGCTAGAAAAGTGCAATTATTTTTATGTCTAAATACATGTAAATGATATTGAACATTTCTTGTGTATACAAAAATTCTTGTTATATCGTACTTGTTTTATTATTTTTCCCTCTAAAAATTAAGGGACACAAAAATAAAATCTTGCACAGGGCACATGAAAAGCTAATGTGTTATTCGATGAGAGATTTTTTTTTCAGTTATCTCCAGAATCTCCGATCGTACATATGTTTTGCAGCAGGACTGGCTCTTTGATGTCTTCGAATGAGGGACGGCTGCTACAACGAAACTACTCGCTTATCTGATAAAAGGATGATAAATATACGAGTGAATTACCGCATTCATTCAGTGTTCACGAAGCGGAAATTTATGCCGCAGTTCATACTTTCTCTGCGGAATTCGCATGAAATGATAAATAGTTCGGTTATATCATCACTCATGTTTGTATCATTAAACAATAAAATATGTATCGTAATTTAACGTATATCTGATTCATTATATAACGATAATTTGCATTCAAATCGCATTGTATAAACAAAAAGCATTATAAATATAATATTGAAGAACTTGCAAAAAATATTACTGAATATTTCGTGGAAATATAGATTATTTACATAGGAGAAGATAATCGCTGGTGTCGTTTACCTTTTGTAAGGCCGGAAACCGGTAACATAAATTCCATATAATCTTGACCGTAAAAAGAAGCCAAGAAATTCATTGTTTCCTTTTGCAATTTGTATATAATGATATATAATAATCAGTCAGTATAGATCTGTTTCTAACACGAAATTTGCAATAGAACATTTAAAAGAAGAATTATAACTGTCTTACAATATGTTACAATAACGAAGTTTATAAAAATTGAAACAAAAGATTTAACAAAAGAAATATCCTATAAATTTTGAAGGCATTGAAAGTCGTAGAACTTTCTTGAATGCTTTAAAAATGTTTTCTTCCTTTCATATCATTTTATATTGTTATTTCAACTTACTTTCTGCTTTATACGTAATCGTAGAAAGCAATTTTATTTTTAAGAATGTGTTTCACATCTTAAAAATTCAAACACAAAATTTACAAGAATCTCTCAAGATTTTTGCAAATTTTTCAATTTCTAATCATATTCGAAGCTATTCGGCCCTTTATATGATATAATTATTTAAAATCTTTTGGAAGAAAGTGTTCCTTTCGAGATAGCTTGATAGATCTGAGTCCCCCAGTTTTTTTCACACTCTTTTTCTCTCTTCTTTTTTCCCGTTGTCAATTACAAGATTTGCTTGTTATATAGGTACCTGGATCTATATCATTATCGACTCAATCAGCAGAGTTTCCGTATACGTATCCGATTCCGGATATTAATCCAATGACACGTCGCGTCGTTCCGCGTTGTTTTTCACACGCACTCCTACGCATCGCTCCTTCGTGCAGTCTTAATTCGATCGTTCCGGTCTATCAAGGATCGAGCGCGGCGAATGAGAGATAATGCGAAATTCACGAAGCGTAAAGGTAGTTCAATTCGCCTCTATTTCGACGGAAGTTCCTGCTTTACAGACACGCAGCTATTGCGGTTGTAACGGCGGCTTCTACTGTTCTTACTATAGTTACTATATGGATGGACGCGTTTAACGATGCGGGCACTCGCAATGATGTGTCACGCACATGTGTGCAAAGTTGAGCGCAATGCCCCTTGAGAAGATAAATTCGGCGCTCGATTTATTCCACTCAAATATTTGCCGATACACTCGAGAACTACGAAAGAATATTATGTAAACGTGCTTCTGTAGGCTGAAAGTTAAAATTGTAACGGATAAATTTTAACGATTAAAAATCCCCACTCAGCAAAACAAAGTATCGTTACTTCGCTATTAATTATATATAAGCAATCTTATTTAATTATATATTATATAATTAATAAAAGTTGAAACTGCAACAATGAAATTTAGCGAGTGAATTTTCATTTAATAAAACCATCACTTTTCTACCAATTATTAATAAGCAATCTTAATTAATTGTATATTAACTAATTTTCTTAAAGCTCAAGCATGTAATTGATGATATTTCAAGGAAATATAATATCAATAAATAATTGTCAAATTATTGACAAATAGCGATTAAAATCACGTTCAGTCGATCAAGAAAGTGGATCTTTATAGTCAATCGGGAGAAATTGAATTACGAAACACTGTTATCTACTTCAGTATCAAATATCAAACACGGAAGACATTGGAGTTGTTTAGATGCGTTTAGTCCGTCTTTCAATTCGGTCACTTTTCCGGTTCATTAAAGATGCAATTGATGCTGGTTCGAATCGATAGATCACCATCAATAGAAGATTACACGGCGGTTTATAGAGGTGATCAGTAATCGATTGAATATTTATTTAAATATTCTGCTACATCGTTTATCTCTGCGAGCGGGGGGATTGAACGGAGAATTAATGACTCGCTCTAATGATCCAACCAACCCGCGGACGCGCTGTGTCATTCGAAAAACGGAATGCGCTTACGATTAACGAAAGTGACTCATCACACGCGCGTGTACGATGGTGGTCGATGACTGCCGGGCGTTTTGCAAACTGTCATTACGCATAATTTTCGATCGCTACTGTGTCGACACTTGCCGCTAGAGATTCTCAGTCCTGCAACCCAAAGGGTTTTAGATAATAATTCGATGGCAGATAAAACGGCGCTCACGAACGGGCTTACTACTGCGTTTGCCACAATCGCAACAAAGATTGAAGAGGTCTTATTTGTACTTGTTATCAGTCGCAGATATCAAGATATTTCATATTTATCGCATTTGTCTTTCTAAAGTTACGCATTTATTGCACAACCGATTTGAATTAAAAAGATTTTCTCGATTTGCTAGGATTTAAATGAAGCTTACCGGTGTTATTGTTAATTTTTTGGATACGCGAAACACGAGCGCCGTCCTTGTTCACAATTGAACACAATTGTTCAATTATGCCGAATGTCAGAACAAACGGGAAGTAAACAATGTAACGTTGATCCTTGAGAAAAGGGTCAATTTTCATTAGCGAAAACGTCGCTGCGCTGACTCTAGCTCTGCTCTAGCTCTAAATCACACAGAATAATGGGCTCTTTTATATTAAGTTAACGCAAATAAATGACGAATAAATGTTATTCGTTTCTTCAATTTAAAATATTTTAATGGTATTTTAACTTCTGGCTTACTGAAATACCAGAAGTCAATGTTATAAGAAATTAATAAGAAATGATCTTCTTCAAAATTTTTACTAAGGAAATTAACTTCAAATCTGCGCGAAGAATTCGGGGACATCCGGGAACATCCGAGCGCGAAGCTTCGAAGAATCGCACTTGTGTAAATTTAAACGTGTCAAATGTCACGCGAAGCGGAAATACGCCCAATCCAGAATATCTCGCGATGCTAGTAATGTCGGAACTGGGCCGCTACTTTTGACAACTTCGAAGATTTTTTCGAATTCTTTCTAAGTTTTAAAGTTGGAAGTTCGAAGGTTGAAGTATCGAAGTTTCGAAGGTTAAAGCTTCGAAACTTCGATTTTCGAAGATTTTAATGTCAAAGCTTCGAAGTTCGAATATCGAAGCTTTCGAAGCAAATCACCCAGCCTTAATCGGAACCGGAAGAGGAGTCGAGCGGAAAATTCGGGTCTCCGAAAGGTCAGGGACGGAAAAGATATCTTTGGACCAACCCTTTCCGCCCCGGAGGGGCGCGGAAGTCGCTGGTCGTCGCTGATCGAAAAGCTCCCGGCTGCGGCCGGCTTTAGAATCCGGCTGTGTCGGTTCTCCCGGTCCGGTTGTGCGTGATGCCGGCTGCGCTCGCTCCGTGCTCCGTTCGCCTTTGCGGTGACCGTCGACTCCGGTCCCTCTCAGTCGCGGCGGTGGCATCCTGCTCGCAACACACGCCACGGCCCGATTCGAAAAGCGGCTGCCGCCGCCGCCGCCGGTTTTTAATCGGATCGTATTTCCGGCGTGGGCGAGGGGTACTCTTTAGCTGCCGGCATCTCGGTAAGCCTCCCCGCAGCCCACGATTGTTCGATCGCGTCGCGTTTGCGAGCCGCAGTGACGGTACAGCGATAATCTGGTAATTAAGAGAGAAACGGTGATTGGTCTTCTTTTCAACGAACAGGGACGTCCCTTTGTGTTGTCTCTTTTATCAAACTATTAATTATTTTCGTTGTGTACTTCAATAGTGGATTGCCTTGAAAAAAAAAGTGAGAGAAAATTGATTGGAATAGTGCTGCGCTAAAATCGTGACTTTTTTTTTTTTCTTCTCTCGGAAAGTGACGGCTCCACTTTGACATTTAAATTTGCTTAAAATAGTCGTGATCGATAAGTCGGCGTCGAATTAATGATCGGCAATAAGTCTGTGTCCCGACTGACGGAGGAGACTCTCGAAACTTATGCGCGTGTAGCCTTTCGCCTTTAAGTGCTGATTTAATTATGCGATTTGTGGAAGTTTATGGTCGTCGGGAGGGTGGTGCGTATAATAAGCGGCATTTTTCGTCGTGAAAGACGAGAGGGTACACCACGTGTGCGGGCGGAAACGGCGTGTGTGGGCACTGACGAAAGAACGAACGGCTGGTCGAGCTCTCGAAAGTAAGTTTCTCTTCCTAGAGGAAGGTTTATTTTTGTGCCTGATCGCGCGCACATTTCGCGGAAACGCGGAAGGGACGACCGATTGTGTGACCGAGGGATACAATGAAACGTATTCTAATGTCGTCTTTCTTCCCTTCGCTGAAGAAATCGTCGTTTCTTCCAGGCAGAACGTTGCGTGCCGCTTAAAACCAATTAACGCCAGTCACGTGCAGATTTGTGGCAGTAAAACGATTTCATTTGCTTCACTAATATCAACAATCAACATATTCCTTTCAATTTTACTTCGCATTCAGACGAATTCTGCAGAGACTTAATTGCAAGTGCATCAAATTATTTCAGAACTTGCTTTTCTCTCCGGAAGAGAAAGAAAATATGTTTCTTTCGCATAACTTTTCAAAGAGATCCTTTTTTCTATTGCAATAATGCCAGCAGCTAAAATTTCTGAAATGTTTCGCGATAAGTTTTGAGTTGGACTAAAGAATGAGAAGTTTATTGTACATTCTTTACTTGTACATTTTCAAGAGAACGAAATTGCACGCTTACGATGTATACAAAAATGTAACTCTGGTTTTCAATAATCTTTATATAACCGAGCTCTTGACGATACAGTGATCTCCCCGCTCATGTTGTCCAATCGCTAGTTTGCTGATGCGGCTCGTTCAACCGGCGATTGCGGGCACGTCGATCGCAATGAACCGCAGGGTTAGTGCACCTTCTCACGATAATGATTCTTGTTCCTGGCGTCAGGCATTTCCTCAAATCTCGACGTATCCTCCCGATGAGTGACAAAGAAACGTGAAAATATATTTCTCGATTAAATTATAAATTGCATCCGCTATACAAATCGTTTCATACAGACTGCAGACCCTTCTTCATCAACTCCTTTCCACACACTAATCTTTCGTATTCCCAAAACAGAATATAATCAACCATAAACTCATTTGTATTATACCGTATCGTACTGTTATATTGTACCATTTGTATTATGTATCTCAATAGTCACGTACTCTATAAAAATTCATATAAAATGACCAACGCTGGTCTCAAAATAAAATATTTAAAAAATTGTAATTTAGAGTTTTTCGAAAAAGTTCGAAGGATCATCATCCTTTATCGCTGTTGGATACGTTAAAATATTGAGTCAGAGAGGAGCGGAACTCACGCGGTATCGGTAGTTTGAGTCACCGATAAAATACGTCCGTGATAAAATTCCGATCAATGACGCCCGGAACGCGCAGTCGACGTCACGTCGGGGAAATCCACTTGTACGGACTCACACGCGATAAGATCAAATTCGGTAAGAGTCGTCGGTGTTCCCACGAGGGTCTGCTAGACCATGAAATGAGAGGGTCGTCCGACGAACGGCGAAGCGATTCGCCGTGGTCCCGTGTCGCGACAGAGTCGATGACTCCTCTACGGTCATCCCCAGCTTACCGGTCGATCGAACGGTCTTTCTCTTTCTCTCCGTAACTCGGATCGTATCCTCGATTCGAGTCACGACCACGGTAATCCGGCCGCGACCGTCGTCAGTGGTCAGTCGAACAATTCCGCGTGTCTCGCCGTTGGTGGGAACAATTAGCGAGACTAGCGAGAGCGACATTCTCCCCTCGTCGAAAGACTTCTTCTCTGCTCCTCACTCCTCAGCTGTCGAGAGAGCCTCAGCCTTCTCTGCTTTTCCAGCTCTCGATAGCTTCTAGCGACGACGGCGCGGCGACTTGATCGCGACGACACGCACTCATCATCGCTAATGTAAACTGACGTTTCCGTGACCAACTAACCGTAACGCGTTTCCAGACACCCGGTCGTTTTATTAGTACACGCTTTCGAGCACTTTTAAGAACTCCATGTGGTTGGAGAACGCGATCTTCCAGGATATACGGAATATCGCCTGAAATATGAATAACTCTATTTTCTGAGTATTTTCTAAATATATTTTTACTAGTATTCGAAGACGACGAAAGGCAATCTTTAATACTTGTACGTGACAATAATTTAATTTTCTTCTTAAAGTTTATAAACGTTGCACGTGTATTTTTTTTTTAATTTCTAAAGTAGATTTATTATTAAAATTAGAATACAAATTTGTAATTTTATATCTAAAAAAAGTTTACCAGTCTACAGATTAAAATGATGAAATCTAATTTTGCTATAAAAAACTGGTCTTGATGTTGCTATATTTCAACATTTTTTTATCGAATTGAATCAGCCGAATTTAATGAACATAGATGGACCCACATAGCGATAGGAATTTTCATTGAGCAACACACGATCGACGCAATTCGTAATCTTAATTTTTCGTTATTTATACAGAGGATATACCTTGACATTTCCGCGATTAAATACATTCTGAATATTAAGTAAATCTAAGTTAGTCTAACAATAAGTAAATAAGCTTCCCAATACGATACTCTTCGAATACGATCGATCCACGAATGAATTTCGGAGCAACCGTCGTATAAACTCGCGATCAACGTTTCGACGATCAGTTCGTCTCTCTTTCTCGCTGGCTTTTGGCGCAATATAATTTTCTTACATTAAAGGGTCACCTTGACCCAAAACCCACGGTATTTCATCGCTTCCCCGGTATTAATCGACTAGACGCCGAACGCTGCAAACGCACGATCTAGCGGCATCCACCACGGCGCCGACTTTCGGCTTAAACCGGTTCTCCCGCCTCTCGTACGTGCACGCTCATTCCGGAGCGTATCCTTTAACGGGACGAACACCGGGATTTCGTGGATTCGAGGAGTCGAGCGTGTAATCGCGATTACGCCGCGCCGGCTACTCACCGCCGGTCTAATCTTCGCGAACGCGACGGTTATAGTCGCGACATTTTCGACCGCAACAGTTCTTGCATCTGACGTTTCCTTTTTTTTCGCACGTGATAGCGGAAAGAGTAACTGTAAGCGATACTCGGTGCACATCTGCGTTGTCTTCCTCCGGCTGTTCCTGTCTTCGCGATTTTGTGCGCGGAATCGGCAACGTTTATATGAAACTTTTTCATCTCTTCGAAAATACGCGGCTTATTATTTGATAATTTTTGAATTCATAATAAAGCGATCGGCGTGAATATTCGCGAAGGTACAAGGAGGTTTGTTGCGAGTGCGGATTAAACAAAGCACGCCGTGTTTAATAAAGCAAGATATACCATGTTGACGCGTGTGCGATATGCTTTAACGAAGGACGTAATTGGAAGGGTGATTAATGGTATCCCGCGGATAATTTAATAACTATGCGAGAAGCAATCTGATCGAGGCGAGTTTGCGATAACGCATGTGTAAGTTAACTGACCTTTGAAAGAATTTTTAAGGGAAATTACTTACGCGTCCCTTCCTCTAATGATCCCGCGTGATACGTGTGAACGGAAGCGGGCGTGCGAGAATTTGCCTAAGAAACAACCGGCGATAACGATCGGCCGCGATTCTATAAATAATGAATCAGTAAAGCGCGCAAGTTATTACGCAAGTTCAATTATCCTCTTGCCTTATCTTGATTTTTGATGGTCGAACCTATTCGAGATATTGCCGCGCGGCTCTGTCGCGCCGACAGAAGAATTGTCGTTATTAAATGTGGCGGGAAAAATTGCAAAATTATGTTAATTTGTCGGCGATCATTTTTCAAGAGAAAGAAAAAACCTTTAAAGTTATTCTTTCGCGAGTGACACACGGGACTACTGAGAAAAACCAATGAATTTATGCGCGATTTTTGCAACGGAATTGCAAAAGTTAGTCACAAAAAGTACCTCATTATTCAGAATTACTTTGTCGATATGCACACATATGCATATTGACCGGCTCGGAACCGGTTTCGCCAAGGGTCGAGCCTTTGTCTACGTTGATTTGGAAGGATATAAATTAGAGATAACGATGTGGATGCAATTTAGAAAGGGCGTCTATATAGTCTATAACAAAGAACCCACGAGGAATGTATCGTCCCCCTTCAAACGGCCAGAATTTCGCTCTGCTTGCGAAACTTCGTCGTTTCTTAACTAAAATGTTCATCAGAACTTCGTCTGTCGCACGATTGCTTGCTGAGAGAATATTTCTACATATTTTCCCAGCAAACATTTGACTATACGAAGATTGGTGTGGACCAACATGGATAAAATAACAGCGAAGAGACCGTCGTTTGAAAGCGTTAATGTTGCTGCCAGTCGTTATAAATATTACTAATTGTTAATTATAAATATACAAAATTCTCCGCGTGTGTGCCAGTAATCGGGCACACGCGAATTCGCAAACGGAACGTTGCATTTCTGGGCGCGATCGTGAAAATAACAGAACCGGCACAGTTAATTCGCTGTAGAAGGACTTGTAACGGCGTCGGGTTCTCATTTCTGGACAGGTCGCTCCGTCCGCCACACATTTCACGACTTTCTAGATATGCACAGAGCTCACTTTGTTCCCATTTCCGTTATCGTTAGGTCGCACGACCGGGCATTTATATACCAATCGTGCAGAAAGATTTTTCTTGAGCCCGTGCATAATGCTCATCGACCCGCGAATAATTGCGACAACTTATTAAGACCTGGAGCGCCTTCCAACCGGAAAGATACGCTGCTTTCTATAGATAATCGTAAATTACGTAATACTTGACTATACTTAACGTAACCATAAAATACAGTAAATGTTTATATATAAATAAATTATAAATGTAATTGGGAAAAAAATAGAATCCAATCATAAATACTTTTGACTTGCTTCATTAATATCAGGTCGGTACAAATCGACGTGCGCACTCGATGTCTTAATTATTCGGTACTCTAATAAAGTGTCTGCAGCGTGAGCAGCGCTTGATAGTGAAAAATGCCTGAGTATTAATTGCTGACGTCGTCAATTTGAATCGTCATCGCCTCTAGCACGTGTGCGACCTCATTCTTCAAAGTCCCGCATAGCTGTACATATTATATTCAATTTCCTCGTGATTGCTAATCCGACAACTCATCTCAATCGTTAATAATTTGCTTTGCTTCCAGATTATCAAACGCGAGCTCATTCCCATTCTTCTGTTACTCCACGGCGTTGCAACATGGCGATCTTCGATACTTTAAAGAAAAAGTTTGACGTGAGTTTCGCTGTAAATCTATTGTTGCACTCATCTATCAATTAGAGTTATTGCTAAACGTTAACGCATCAAGAATAACTGAATTTCAATTCTTATGTAAAAGAAGAATGACTGATCGGCTAAAAGGCAGCTTCGCGAAAAGAAACGAAGATTAAACAGTAAACACAGTTGAAATTTGTTTTATGAATAACATGGGGCGTAGATCAAGGTCCGCTGCTCGTAAAATTCATTTAAGATCTCAAATATGTCTCTGTCCGGACAGGACATCGTTTACTTTTGGCCTTCTACGAAAGATTTCTTAAGAAGTTATTTAAGATACAAAGTCTGCAGTGTTATTGACGATATGTGTTTCTTAAATTGCAACACAAAGTAACAGTTAATAACAGCAAATATATAATATAAAATATATAATAAAAAGTTAATATATCGCATGAAAAGTTTTAATAAATTATTGTATCCATAAACAGCACATAACATTTATTAAAATAAAATTAATATATTAGTAAAATAATAAAAAAAATTTGAATAATAATATATATAATAATAAAAAATGCAATTTTAGAGAACAATAATAAAAATAGATCAAATTTGATAACATAAAAATTCTGAGAAAATAAATTTTAGAAAATCCTACATAACGTAGAACGATTTTCATTCACAGGTTGAGATTTTTCACATCATGAAGAAAGTTTCTCCGTTCTACTAGCGGACAGAGCGATGGGATTGGCCAAAGGATATCCTCTGACAGGATTAATTGCTACACCTGAGTCAGCAATAACGGGTACCATGACGAGGATGAGCCCGACCGAAGACCCAGGGACTCCTAAAGAGTGCAAATGGGAGAGGTGACACATCACCCAGTGATGCGTAAACGGCGTGGAGTCGGCAGCGCCTTTCTGGGCCTCTTCGTGGGCCTGATCCTAGGATTCCTGATCCTGAGCTACCGTCTGATCGTCTTCAATCAGCAGCAACAGGTTGCCATTTGGACCTCCATGCCCGGTTTACGGCCATCGCCGAAGACATCGCCGCGAAACATGCCGTGGCTGAAAGACGACGAGCGGATCAACAGCTCAACGTCGAATCTGGTGTTTGTGGGCGTGATGACGGCTCAGAAGTATCTGGACACGCGAGCCAAGGCCGTCTACGAAACGTGGGGCAAGGAGTTACCCGGCAAGATAGTCTTCTTCTCGTCGGAATCCTCGACGGTTCCCGAAAACTGTCCGGATCTGCCTTTGGTGCCGCTTCCGCGGGTAGACGATACCTATCCGCCGCAAAAGAAGTCCTTCATGATGCTGCAGTACATGTGGAGCAATTTTGGCGATCGCTTCGAGTGGTTCTTGAGAGCGGACGACGACGTGTATGTGAGGACAGATCGGCTGGAGACGCTGCTGAGATCCGTGGATTCCAGAAGGGCGATGTACATCGGACAGGCCGGCAGAGGGAACTCGGAGGAGTTCGGTCTGCTATCGTTGGAATACGACGAGAACTTCTGCATGGGGGGCCCGGGAGTGGTGCTGTCCAGGGAGACACTAAGGAGGATCGTGCCGCACATCAAGTACTGCCTGCGCCATTTGTACACCACGCACGAGGACGTCGAGCTGGGAAGATGCGTGAAAAAGTACGCTGGGATCCCCTGCACTTGGAGCTACGAGGTAATTTCTTCTCGACATCTCTTCTCGTAATGTTTACAGAGGACATTAGCACGATCGTATTATAGAAGAATCGTTATTTGCAAACGAGTAAAACTAAGAAGATAATTTCCCTAAGCTGAAAAGTTAGTTTACTTTTTAAATCATCGAAAAAATATATAACGATTACGAAAGCACGCTTCCTTTTCTCGCTATATTCTCTATTTTCTAAAAACATGTAGATTTAAACTTGGAACTAAGTTCTTTAAATCAAAAATACATTATTTTTACTTGTTAGTAAATAAAAATAATAAAACAAGGAGGAAAATATATTCTTCTCGTTGAAGGGCGTTTGCTTCGCTATCGATTCGTTCGTTTTATCACCGAGAACAAGCGCGTACGTCATGTCGTACGCAGATAGGTAACTAAAACTTTTTATCTTATCGCGAGTCGACAAGACTACATGCTAGATGCTATCTCGCTGATTGTCAAAACAATATTGCACCTTGGTCTCATGCATACTCATCGAAATTATCGTTCTTCTGAATTCTTCTCATTGCCAGTTTTGAAACAATGACATAACTTCAACGGCTGCATTCGAGGAGCGCGCTATTAGCGCTATTGCATCATTCTGTCTTTATCGCTCATCAGGTGTAAAACAAGGATAGAACAAGCAAATAGCGCTAATAGCGCGCTCCCCGAATCCAGCCAACGGAACTTTGTAACTGCGATACTTGACCTAAGATATCCAAGTCAATTAATGACGTTAATCTTCCACTTCTTTCATCCAATTCCATCACAGCCAATTTCGCTTTTGTATCGACAGCTTCATCACAAAGGATTTTCTTTTCACTTATGATTCTACGAACCGCACACCCATTTTGTCGGGTTTATTGTCACTGGCGTGATATACTAGAGCTATTCTGGTCGTCCAATTTCTTCCTCGCCTCTGAGGCTCCGCCGCGTGCACTCGCAGAAACGCATGTACACGACAAACGAAACGATTTGTTGATTAACACACACGCAAGGAAGATTAAACGCCGGTTTATCCGACGTTGCACACGCTTGTATCTTATGCATCTTTCAAATTGCAACTCAACATCGCGCTAAAGCAGTTTCGCTCCGATTCCGAAATATCATCCTTTTGTGTTTCTCAAAAATTCAGAAGAACGCTAAATGAATTTTTGCACAAAGTTTTCTCATGTATACGATGTATGATTTTTTTTTATTGCGTTATAGTAGGTACCAACAATCGCTCGCGATCGAATTATTTGTTAATTTTAAAAATATCCCGATACATTACTCTCGCAATCATCAATCGACAGTTGAGCTATTTCCACACAGAGCTATTCGTCATCTCAGAATGTTAAAGGGTTAATTCTCTTTACCGGTTAAATCCCAAATTAAATTGTGCGTAACTTGATCGGGAATCAGGGTGCGATGCTCATATAATGGGCACCCGGCTTGTCATCGTCGATTTAAATACATGAACCACGCGCGTATACCGCATCACGTACCGGGCACGTCCATAGCGAGGATTAGGTCGAAAGGTACAACGCACATATGAGGATGTTAGTCATTAAGTAAAAGTGAATTGTACCCTGCTAACCCAGTGGCCAGATCGAGCCATTCTTCTTCATCTTGGTGCTCGCGGTCGCATTAGGTTGTACATCGCTTAAATAACAATTTGTCCACACGAAGTGCTTAAACCTTCGCACGTCGCGATAATCAAGTAGAATTGATGCGCGAACTCCAAAGAGGATTCGAATAAAAGAGACCATACAGCTTTCGTGATAAAACAATAAAAAAAACTTGCTTGAGAAGAATCGTGAAATATCGTAGATCTTGTTTTAAGAATTAAATTTATGTGTAATACGAGAAACAATATAAATTATATATATCAATTTTATAAAACGTAAAATAAATATAAACATTTTTGTAACTGATAGTATATAAAATCAAACTATGTATAATTTGAGAAATAACATTTTGCATTGTGCAAACTAAACAATTCTGATCAATTTATTTTTAGAAGCAAGTTTGGAAGAGGAAAACGAAACTTAAGTAAAACTTGATTTAAGAAAAATACGTCCTTCAAAAACATAAGAAAAGCATTGAGTGCGAAATCGTAGCGAATACCTACATCGTTAAGAGCAGCGACTCGGCAAAAACTGTATAAATGAAAGCGATAACAATAATTCATGCGTTAATAATCACTCCATTATTCATTCGGAGAATCGGAAGCGCGATGACACCGTCTCGCGCTATGCACCAGTCGCGATGTAGGTATACTTGCGTGGGTGCGCACAACTCCCCGAAGCACGTTCGTATCGCCGCCGCAACCACGGACGAAAGGTAAAGTGCACGGATGAGGATGTCACTCGTTAGGCCCGAACAAATCGTAGCCTGCTGACCCACTGGCTAGACCGTCCGTTCCCGTCTTGACACTCGACGTAAGGTCGAAACACTTAACGATCCCGATGCGACGTGCAAACGCCCGCGCGACGTTCGCCGTGGAGGCCGTTCAATGCGTGCCACGATTGATTGATCGAGGCGTGCATGAGACTCGATAAGAGATTTATCGGTCCAGGCAGTGGGTCAGGCCTTTGTTACAGCGTCTTTCGCCGCATCTATTACGGCCGGAGAGACCAATAACGGCATCGCGATATTGCGCTTTAATTCCGCGAAATTAGCGGTCTTTAGTGACCTCGGCGAGAAAAGAGTTTATCTAATCTAAATGGGTTGATAATTGGTCTGATATTCCTGAAAAGATTAATAAAGCACGCATATCTCGAAAGAAATTAGGAATGCTTATACAGCATGTTCTATACAGAAATCTTGAAGAGGAGAGACTTCTAAAATAGAAATAGAGTTTGTAAAGTGTCAATTTACTTGTCATAATGCTCAAACGCATACAAACATATAGAATACATATAATTCTTGAAAAAAAAAAGATAAAAGTGTAAAAGTATCTCGGAAAATTTTCAACAATTTTCAACAATACGCAAGCATTTTATGTGAAGTCCAAAGCGCGATATAGATTTCTTCACGTAACTGCCTGAGCAAGTCATCGCGATTTTTCGCGATGTCGATCGTCAAGAAACGCCGAGACGTAATTCTGCGAAACAAGAAACCACCACACCCAGTGTTGTGATTAACACCCGCACCGCGCGGGTTTGGCGTTTCGGTCCAGGAGTCCCGAATGGAAACGTTCTTAATGGTAATTATTATAGGTCGTAGTGCGCGCACACGGGCAGGAAGTTCGTACTTTAACTCCGCTTCTCTGCCCGCGTGCTAATTGCCGTTTGACGAGGCTCCACTATAGCGCGTGCACTCACAATCAGACATTCGGGACGGATTAATATACCAAGCTCGCGTGGAATCGGCAGACGCGATGCCATTGTCGCGTTGATCAAGCGCGAGCGTGCAATTCAATCGTCGTTCTCAAATTGTAAATAATTCGTCGTTCTTAAATCAGTTTCGGTCATAAGCGAAGCGCGTGAAAACCATCGAGTAGAAGAAATACAAATACCAATGTATCAAATTTTTTATACAACAGATTTCATCTGCAGCTTTAATTATTTACACTACCTTTAAATTATTATATATATTTGAGATTCTAAATTCTAGTAAAGATCTTTATCTATTATATTTGAGATCAGCTTTGTTATTTATTTAGTTTGTTTATTTTATTTATATTTTATTTGTGTATTTAACTCATTTAATTTATTTCTATTTCAAAGATGTGGCAAAGTTAAGCTAATGTTTGATGATTCCTTTATGACTGTCGAATAAATACCTCATTATATCTGTTAAATCCAAAAGGAAGGGAAAATAGCGTGTGGAAAGAAAAAGATTATTTAAAATAATAAATATGCATTGTGTGTGTGATAGAAATAAAATATGATTTGATCGTAACTTATCGTTGCTTACTCTCGAAACGGGCGACGCTCATAACATACTCGTGATGATGCCGCACAGATGCAGTCGATTCTTTATCACAACAGCAGCGGGGCCCAGGCGTTCACCGGAAATCTCAAGAAGAAGGAGGTTCATCGTGCCATCACTTTGCATCCTGTGAAAAGTCCGCCTCACATGTACAGGCTGCACAATTATATGAGGGTTGGTATCGCATCGTGTATCGTAATTACGGTAATCACACTGCAATTACATGAAAAAAACTGCATTACTTATCCGTGAACTGTTAAGTAATTTGATAACCGTTACGCGTGCGAGGCGAGGAGGAAATCGCTTAGCTATTCTAGATTCCTTTGACGTCGCGTAAAAACCATCGAGTGGAAGAAATACGAGTATGATATGTCAAATTTTAATACAAAAGATTTCATCTATTGCTTTAATTATTTAAGAGAGTGCCGCTTCGGTTTACTTATTAGAAAATTATCCTTGCAAATATTATACTGTGTAATATATTCTGTCAGGGACTGCGAATACAAGATCTGCAGCAAGAGAGGATCCGTTTGCACAGGGACATTTACACGATGGCCCAGGAATTGGGAGTGAGCCTTGAAAGCTTGAAGAACTACGAGATAGCGGAGGAAGTACGTCTTTTTCCCGTCGATCCTAATTCCGAAGATTATCCCGGCGACACAGATATATTGGGTACGATTTCCTACTTCCGTCATCGTGAACCGACGATAAAAATCTAGAGAGAACCATACGTCGCTTGTACGCATCTGTGCTTTCGTTATTTTTATCTACCGTTATAACAAGGGTAACTCATCGTTAGAATCATTAGAGTGCTAAAATAAGGTTGCTTCTCTAGATTTATGGGTTATAAAATTATGCGTTTACTCTAATTACCAATTACACGCGTTTTTTTTTATATATATCAACACTTTCGCGTGTCTTTCTAACAGTATTTCGCCGATCTCTCTCAGGATCGTAAATATATGCATAAAGACTGTTTATCTAATGAATATTCCGCATTACACACTCCCTTTTACCACGTCCATAAATTATCGTCGTTTTTCCTATTTGAGCATTCTTACAACCTCGCGAACCATAAAAACATCTTCAGAATGATAATAACCCACATTTTTCGGTCGTAAAACTTTTACTGTACTTTTGCTGCTAAATTAACGCTTCCGCATTTACGTACACACACGAGCAACTACAGTTATTTGTCGTCTTAATGCGTGGCTTGCGTCGACGTGCCATCGGGACAACGCATCGAATCCATATCCCAGAGGGATTGTAAATCTATTTGAAATCGGATATATGCTCTCGGAGACGCGAAAATTATAATGCGTGACTTTGTATTGCCGCGTTGTGCAGCTTCTCGCGTTACATTTCATCGAGAGCGTTTCGCTCTCGTCGCAGATTGAATCCCACGAGAAATAAATGATCTGAGTTTCGATATTGATAAAAATTTATCTTAGAATCTTCAAAATCGAGAATCGACCTTGATCATCAAATTTATTATTGTCAAAACTATTTCAAAAAACAAGTAAATAAGTTTATGAAATTAAGAAATGCTAAAACAATTCCATTTTATTCCATATACTTAATATTCATTCGTTAAATGATGATAGTATGTTACAAAATGACAGAAGAAATGTTCAAAGATTTAGAAGATTTAAAAATTTAGAAGATTCTAAAACCTGTAGAAATGGTTCTCTTTTAATCTCTTGCAATTTAATGTTTTTTTTTTTTTGTAATTATATTTCAACCACACTCGTAATTTCGATTAGACCGACGATTTTAGTAGCATTTCTAGCTAGCATTTCTCATTAATATAATCTATTCAGCTTGATTACCCTATGTGAGTTAATAGGTTTAGCACAGAATTGAAACTAGACACACGACACACGCTTTGACGTATTTATCGGACGTAAATGATTCAGAGAGTCTCTCTATCGTTACTCCAATCATTTCTTTTTCCCCATATTTCTCTGAGATTTCGCCGTATTATCGCATTAACTCATATGTAACTCGTACGCAGTACGCTGCAATAAATTCAAATTAACCGACTGAAAACTCGAGTCGGGCATAGTTTGTCAATAAAGTTGTAATCGAGATCGCGATTCAAGGAACATTGAAATCCTAGAGGGAATTACTACATTAAATTGCTTCCTCCAGTTAATTTTCTCTGTCATTTTCATAAGTAACGCTTGATACAAACAAACACGATTTTCGTATCGAACATGTTGCAACAATAATCTCGGATTAACATTAAAGCGATTAATCAAAAATTTTATACGATAAAGCATGACATTTATATGTTTTCTTTTATTTCCAAGCCGCCGGCTGAAATTATTACGTGTTTACGATTCCAAGCCGTAAATATAACTTACAGTACCTACTCTCTAAGAAGTAAATTGATAAAAATTAAATGGGCAGAAAAATTTATGCTCTAATATTAAATTTCCAGTCTTTGTATTAATGTTGCTTTTCATTTCCTCTATATATCATTTAAAAAAAAAGAATTTTTTATTTATCTTGTGTTATAAAGTATAGATATAATTAAGTATTAAATATCGAAATATAAAAGAAATTTACTCTAGCCTATCTCAATTTTAAAATTTCTTACTATGTGATTTTCGAGACTTTTTGAGTTACCTTGATATCAAATTTGCGTATTTTTAAGAAGTTTCGACACTTAGTGTTAATAACGGAAACCGGTCGGATTCGTTGATTCGCTAAGTAAAATCTTATTTGTACAGGTGTGCCGGCGAGTCTTCGTTCGTACAAGCCGGCGATGAGCGACGAAGTGATCCCGTGGGACTTCCTCTTGAAATTGGAATACAGTTTGACCGATTCTAATCCCAGGCGACGTATTCACAGCGACATCAAAGAGGGCCTAGAGGATATCACTCGTGAGGTCATGGCTTCCATTAATTCTTATTCAAGGCAGCGGGGCCGCGTTGTCGAGGAACGGTCCGCTCTTTACGGATACAGGAGGGTGAATTCTTACGGAGCTGACACAATATTAGATCTTTTGTTGGTCTATCGAAAGTACCGGGGCAGGAAGGTCACTCTGCCAGTCAGAAGACACGTTTATCTTCATCAACATTTTATCGGTATATATGTTTTTCATATACACGTAATAAGTGAAATTATTATTTTTAATAATTAATTAATTCTTTGATATTCGAGAGATACATTTCTCTGTCTTATATTAAATAATAATATTACAGATATGTGTATATAAATGTTAGCTAAAATATATAGACATCCTCTAATGTTCTTAAGTTAAATTATTAAGCTAAATTATTAAAATGCAAAATTGTAGTTGCTTTGCTGAAAAAGTATCATACACTATAATTTATTGAATTATAATTTCATATATAATTATTTTACTTAAAATAAAAGATTTTGTTAGATTCTAACGCTTCCGCATGATAAAATTTGTGATAACGTAATAAAAGATTTTAAATATTATTGAAGTAGAGCAATTATATTCAAGTATTAACTTACATTTAACAGACGTTAAATGTTCTTTCAGGATTAGAGATGCGCGAGACAGTGAATGGCGTCGAAGTCCAACCTCGGCAGGAATCAAACGACAAATCTATTCAGAATTTTCTCCACCGTGGCTTCCTGAATCTCAATTTCAACTCTCAAGAGGAAGATCCGGTGCAGAGCAAGGTCATCAACTTTATCCTACCTCTGTCGGGCCGCTACGAGGTCTTTCAACGATTCCTCCAGAATTACGAGGACATCTGTTTGGCCAGCGGCGAGAAGACGTCTATGCTCGTCGTGCTCTACCAGCACAAAAGCGAAAACACCTTCAACAAAACGATAGATCTGATCGAGCAGCTCAAGTACAAATATCGCAGTGCCACCATACAGGTTCTACCGGTCTCCGGGGATTTTTCAAGAGCCCGAGCCCTGGACTTGGGCGCGTCGAACATGCGGGCCGACGATCTGATGCTGTTCATCGACGTGGACATCGTGTTCACGGGTTCGGCGCTGAACAGGATACGCCTGAACACGCTGTCGGGCCGAAGAATGTACTTCCCGATAGTCTTCAGCCAATACGATCCCAAAGTCGTTTACGGCGACGCCAGAAAGCAGGACAAGTTTACCATAAACGAGATCTCCGGGCACTGGAGGCAGTACGGCTTCGGAATCGTTTCACTGTACAAGAGGGACTATCGTACCGTGGGCGGTCTTGATCTCTCGATTCAGGGTTGGGGCAAGGAGGACGTGGAGTTCTTCGAAAAGGCGGTCAAGTCCGACCTCGACGTCTTCAGGGCGGCGGACAGGCACCTGGTGCACGTGTATCACGAGATAGAATGCAGTAGGGAGCTCTCTAACCTTCAGTTCTCCATGTGCATGGGATCAAAGGCTGACACGTACGCCGGAGTCGAGACCTTAGCCAACGTGATTTACAGCAATCCGAACATACTGCACTTCGCCAAAGAGAGGAGACAGAGGAGGATGAATCCTGCTGGTTAATGATAAATCTATATGCCAAATTAGGACTATCGGCCGTTGAGGGGCGATACAATTTTATTAGAAATCGTAGGGGAAATTGTAAAGATATTTTTCTCGTTACACACTCGCCTTCGGTCGCGCGAATGTAACACTGACGAACGGACTATCCGAACCCTTTCGGTGCCAGAGTATCTCGTTAGTCACCGCCCTGCTTGTGTAAATATGAAGTATAGTTGTGTGATCGCGCAGACAAATGCAAAATCAATACTCTGATATCTTATTGTATGACGAAATGTATATATCGGAGCTTTAATCGAGAATATAAAGTTCAAGAGTTTGATTGTGAAACATGATTGGTATTACGATTTTCGAAGATAGATCTGGCGATCGATAAAGATCACCAAAGTCACTGCAAGCATGCTAATAGATTTTTAACGTTAAGGAAATATGTAATAAGGCTTTCGTTGTTAGTTTATGTGATGATATTATTCTTTACCGCCCAATGATCTTTTTTTTTATTGAGGCTAAAAATAGACGTGTATCGTTTACTTTTACAGTTGCAATTAAATGTCGACAGTTCTATAGGAATTGACCGTAATGACATGCATTTATAAAATTGTTAGCCTAGGTAGGTAAATGTAATAATTATTATAAGTAAATGTGATATTATCGTGCCTTTAAAATATTAATTTTCGCAATTTCATGTACTGCCAAATGTGTAAACACACCGTTACGATTATTTCGATATAGATGCAGATACTTCTAAATTGTCGCATTGTGCGTTTCACATTTTATATATTTACACATTAAAGGCCTCTGTCTGCAATAATTGGAATAATACTCACGCTTTACTGAATAAAATTCTTATATTAAGCAATAACGTCATTTTAATATTCGTCATTCCTCTAAACTGAAATATAAAAAGTAAATATATAACGTATAGATCAGCGAATCTTTCTTGGATGCTATTATTTTAAACAAAGCATTTAATTATTTGATAGCCAACACAAAACGTCGTTATAACATTTACTTATCTATTAATTTACTTTACACAATCAATTTATTTATTGAAGTGTCATTAAAACATTTAAGTAGCATCCTAATGTTTTGAATGTATCTTAAACAGATTTTGAGCGCTTTTAATTTTATTCAGGTTTCTTTGCAAATTAAAATATACAAGATAAATATTTCACAAATCTCAATACTATTTATCTAATTGCGATTTTTAATTTAATGTAGTGGCTGCCTGTTATTTAAAAATACTTAATTTTTACAATTGCAAAACAATCTTTTTTGGGTACGTCGAAATCTTGAAGTCATTTAATTCTGTTTGGTCTCAGTGAATTATTCTTATCGATATTTAAAGTAATTGGAATTAAAAAATCATTCATCGAACTCATCTTGAGGAGATTAGAGTTTCTTGGAAATCCAGTAATTAGAAGCGCGGAGCGGGTCAAATTTCAATTAAAAATAACTGTTGTGTTATGAAAATCGAGAAATAACTCGATTTAATAGCTCACGCTATATGTGATAGCTTATCAAGCTTTTGAGTGGCGTTTGATGAAACGGATGAAACGCCTAGAAACAATAGTGATAATTCATACGATTTGTTTGACAACAGATAATAACAAAATGTTACTTCGTGAAAGAGTGGCATGACTTTTCCTTATGTAGTGCATCGCACCATGAATATTTAGAATTAACATTCTGATTTAGAATGTAGGCAATAAATATTATATAATAATGCTCTCACATCGCCGCGCGAAATAAAACGTATAGGCGTTAATTGTATGTTCGAATGACGCATCTGATAATTTCGCGGGAAACAAACGTATGTAAAGTATAGTCAAAGCTGAGCTATTTTCAAAGCTCATGAAAAAATAATGTGTCGCATCGATTAATGATAGTGTAAAACACAGACAGTATAGACATTTTTTATTTCTTCTTTTCTTACCTGAGCAATTTAATTAATGGTATAATAAAAAATAAAATGTGGAATATCTGGGGCTTCAGATTTTTTACACTTTTAATTTTTATGGCTCGTGTGATAGGTAACTTTATTCGTGATTTGTCTTCGTAATCTAAGAATCCCAAGAATTTCACGCCTGTGGGGAATTATATACTGACTGTAAGAAGAGACTGCGCTGTTTTTGTAGAAGAGGTCGATAGCACTGTAACACTTCTTCAATTCTGTTATCTCCTGTTTGTCTTAGAGAGAGCTAATGACCTCTTCGAGAACGTCACCCTTATCGGACATGAAATTCTCTACTCGTGGAAGCCATGGGAGATGCACATGTGCATTAACAGAGCAGAGGACGCGGCGAGATCGCGATGCGTGACGCGCAATAGCGGAAGGCGAAAGGAGGGTCTTATCGGCTTGCGTTTTATTACGGCGTTGGTAGATAATAGCGTATATCTCAAGCTCAAGGTCGCCTGCGATCGTTCGCGGCATTAGCGGCAGACGGCGCATTTATAAGACAGAGTTCCGCGTGAATCCTCAGTGCGATATATCGTTGTCAACACCTTGCATCACGTTACGTTTCGGAAGGGAGACGCAAGGTCGTTAATTTATCTCAGTAATTGAAAATATCCTGAGCAGCCCACTCGAGCATAATTCTTTATCAGAAGCGGTACCGATTAAAGGCAAACACGTTGGAATTAAAGTTGTTAAAGTGCCGAATTAGATGCCAGACTGTGACGAAGATCTTCATCTTTTAATGTCTTTCTAATCACAAAGTGTTGAGGTTTGAGCCTCACTGAATGATATCCAACAACTAAATTCTTCACACGCAAACAGCCGTTGGATAGCTTCAAGTTCGTTGCTCGATTCATTCGAGCAGTCGCTCAATTAGTGATTCAAGTGATCGAGAAAGACGCCTTTTATACGACTTGCCAGGTAACGAATATTAATCGGCGAATATTAATTCTCGTCGAAGAATGAGGGGATCGTGGGTGATCCTGTTCGTCCTGACGATCGTAACTGTCCATTCGCCGGCGGAGGGGAGGATACTCGCGCAATGCGAGGCCGTGAGGGAGCTGGAGCGTGCTAAGATCAGCAAGACCTTAATCAGCAACTGGGTCTGTCTGATGCAAAGCGAAAGTGGGATGAACACGGCGCTAGTGACTGGCCCAAAGACAGCCTCCAGCTATTCGCATGGTATCCTTCAGATTAACAGTGCCAAGTGGTGCACCAGGGGACGCACAGGTGGCATTTGTAATAAACGCTGCGAGGACTTCTTGAACGACGACATACAGGATGACATCGCGTGCGCCAAGAAGATCTTCGATCGGGACGGTTTCAAGGCGTGGGACGGGTGGATGAAGAAATGCAAGAACAAACCGCTGCCCAATCTCGCGCACTGCACACGGAGGAGAAGAATGGCAACCGAGATCGAAACGGCCGAGGTCGAAGCCGATCCGATCCTGTAGTGATATTGTCGTTTGACATATTGACTACAATCGATACGAGAGACTCGAATTTTGCTCTTAATTTTACTTCCGTAAAATCTTTGCATCTCTTATAATTTTTCACGAATTAAATTTCACACGAATTAGAAAGCTAATTACAAGCTTACGTAATCGAGCCCATCAGATAATTGCATTCGACAGATTGTTTCCGTTAAAGGATTCTTCTAACTGCGCGCGCCGTACTCGCGACGTACGCAATACGTTGCACAAACAAAGTACACCGGTGTGCTTTATGAATATGGATATAAACCGATTGGATCGACGCCACTTATGACGCAAGACCTGCATGACCGTCTTAAACTTATGTTGCACGGCTTGGCAGACGACACTATGCGAAATGGTTTAGAAATTTCACCTGTTAGAATCGCAAAACCGTACGTGATGAGATTTCGCCGATGTCTTCCCCATTTCATCTCTTTATACTCGCATTGCGTGTGTGACATTTAAGAAGATCGTCTTTGCCCCCAACCCGTGGAATGTCGTATCTGCGAAATTCAGAAGTAAAATGTAAAATGCATAAACCTTGTGTAACTAAATGTCTCTGTGTAAAAGCGAAGAAGTAAGCTTTTAAAATTTTCTCAAAAAGAGTAATATCAAAATGTTGCAAGCCAGTAATTTTGTGCCATAAAATATAGTTTAGAACTGAAATATAATATAGATTTTAAACTAGATAATATACAAAGTTATATAAATTGAGATACTTTTCCATTTTGATTTTATAATTTAACTATTATATTTATACATTTTAGATACATTTATATATTATTATAAGAAATATATAAAATTTATTATTATATATATTATATAATCTGTCTCTCTCAAAATGTAGAGCAATTTTATATGTATAACATAAATTAGTATATTATACGGAATTAACTCAATATTATTTATATTAAAAAATATATGTTATATTATAAAGTAATAAAATAATTAAGAATTATTATCGGTTGACTCTTAGTTCACTTTCTTATAAATTGTTACAAAAGAGCGATTTATATACTAATCTCTTATTCAAATAATTCCAAGATATTATAATTTTCAAATTTCTCAATTTAGAGTTTTCAATTTGAATAAATTATTCAAAATTAATTTGAGATAAGTAAAAGCAGTGTTTGAGGTAAGAACCACTTATTTGCCAAATAAATTTATTTTAAAGAAAATTAACCAAAAATTAAAAGTAATTCTGTACTGTCATTACACAGCAAAATTCAAACAAATTTATCTTTAGGCAAATTCCGCGAATACAATCGAGATATTGCGAAAATACAGCTGTTTTTAGATTCGAGTTTCAAAGCAGCGATATCAATCTCCAAGGCCGCGATTTATAAAACTCGGCGAACGATTCTCAATCTTTTGCGTAATGCGTGTCGCGTGTTTCTCTAATTAGTGTCCTTTCTTCTGAATTTGATATCAAGGTCAGTGACAGATTTCGATTTCTCGGCTTCCTTTAAAATGTGTTATACGTCTTTAATGTCCTAGTTTATCTTGATTTGTGCGAAATAAATTCTAGACTTCCAAATATTTTTAGACGGCTTGATAACGACGTTGCAAAATTTCGTTTCGCAAAAACAGTGAGATAAATCATTTTAATAAGGAAAAAAAATGAAATTTTTGTCGGAAACTGTAATTCAAATAAAAGAACAGTTAATTTCCCAGAATTATAGGAAGCGAGTGCTCTTCCTATATAAAATTATCTAGGAAGACTACTCTCTTCTGATGAAATATTTCGTATTTCAAAGCGTATTACGAATCGAGGAAAATTGCGATTATACGATCTAAACGAATAGAGAATAAACTTTCTTAAGCATTCAGGAATCCCTCCCGCGTTTCTCTCTTTCTCTCATGAAAATCGGTTGAATCATCTGCTTAGATTTGTACGTATAATGCATACCAAGCGCGAGATAGTAAGCGCATGACTGTGTATGTGTCTGAATTGCATAACGGAGCATTTGAGGAGTGAAAGATTCGCGATGTCGATGTCTATATAATCTGAGAGGTCCCGAAAAAGAATTTCGATGAAATAGATGTGCCACGCAATCTGAGATTATTCTCTCGGATCTCTCGACGATTTCTCGAAAGCTCTTTTTTCTTGCGAGGATCTCTCGCAACGATTGCGTAACGTTTTGCGTGCTACGATTTTAAAGATCCAATAGGTCTGCCTTACTTTTATACTTATAATAGAATTTTCAAATCGGGACGATCCGAGCCTGCCTTCGCTCGTTGCTGCCGATCGCTAACGGAGCGCTTTGGCTCGAGCGATGCGCGCCACGAGGATGCACGTAAGTGCATTTTATCATAGCTCCCGGCTGCAGTGCATGCACCTTTCACTAGCGGAAGTGAACAGCTGAGAGGCAGACGCGTGAGAGCGACCCAGGTCATTATTCGCTCGTTACGGACGACCGCTTCGTGCGAGCTGAAGGCATCGCTCGAAACGTATACGCTCGAATCGGTTGTCGACCGACCGTTAAGATAATTGGAGGCCGATTATCGATTGACTTATCACTAACGCCTGCTATATCTTTTTTATTTTCTTCTAATGGAACAACAATTTTATTGTGTATTGTAACTATAGAAATTTGTAACGGAGGCGCAATAATTTTTATCAAAATTCTTAAAATCTCTTTAATAGCTCTTAAATTTTTTATATTATTACGCTTTTTGATAATATTTCGCCATTAAAAAATTCTGCTCTTTATTTGCATTATCCTTAATTTTCTCACTCGATTTACCAAATTGAAAGACCTCTTCAGATAAAAGTAAACGATGAAATTAGCTCTCACTTTCTTATCATTGTGCGTCATTGCGACTGTTGATCGTCGCAAGAATGGTTCGTCGGAAGATAATACTCGTCGGCAACGCGAGCAAGGAAGACTCGTGGCGTCGACGGGAAAATTGCGGTTTGCGCATTAAAAGCGAGATCTCTTCGGTATCATGCCGTAGCAATTAATCGTGCAACGTGTCGGCGAATATACGTATACGAACGCGACGCTGCGACGTGCGAAGTAAAGGAATAGAGCGTGAAGAGCACGTTGCGCTTTCTCAGCGACTTATGATTACGCAATTGCGCGAAGATGCATATATACATACACATACGTGCGCACGCGCGCACATATTGCAACGAATTTCTCATTGCCACTCATTGGTGTGTTTCGATGTTTCACTTCTGCGAAAACTGCGAAAAGACGCGGTTAATGGGAGAAAAAACACTATCGTCGATTTATCGGGAAATAAAATTATACAGGAAGTAAATCTAGACTCCCCTCTTCTTTCTTCTTTTATCTTCCTCTTCTATCTTTCTTATTTGAAGCGTGCCATAACTTCGCCACGTAACTGGCCGCCGTAATTATCCCCGACCTTCTTTCGATACCCAACCGTTTATTAACAATTACTATCCTTGCCATTTTTCATCATTTCGTGAAGTTTCGATCTAACGACTACCTGCCAACAATATTGGTTCAGACCGGTTATAATCTTGTAATTATTGTAGTTCAATATGCTGCAGGTCAATACGAGTTTTGCCTCGAAAATACTTCATTGTGTCACAATTTTGAAAAATTCAAAATAAAAATTGTAAAAGCTAATTGTAAGGCGGTTTTCATTTTACATTTAATTTTACATTTAAACATAAATTTCTTGATACAAGACAGCGGAAAATAATACTTCTATTATAATAGAAATAATTAATTATTTCGATTACTTTTAACACCAAGCATTCGGATTTCTTAACGGTTGAGTGAATACAATAAATTTTGAGCATAAACTCTGAAAAATTGAATCTCTCCGGAATTCCTCAATTTGTGGGTCGCTCTACTCTATGACGGTAGGAAGCCATTCTTGCATTTAGATACCTAAGTAGGGAAATTAAACCTCATCCAGCTGTCTAGTGCTTTTATCTGCTGCCATCAACGAGTCGGGTTTGAAATTAATTATTCGGCGCTTGCATATCTTGACAGTATAATCTCCACACGCATGCACGCGTGCACGCGTGCGTCTACGATCGCGAGTGTTGATCCGCGAAGAATCTAAGACCCCCCCAGGACGACGTCTTCCTCCCGGGGGCATGCGGCTGCTTTTACTCCGTTTCCCTTTAACGGCAAACGAAGCCGCGTTGCCGTTAAGTTATACACATATGCATCCAGCTGCGTAACGGCAGCCCGTAGAGCCGATCATGATGTCCGCGAGACAATACAGGCCGTATCCTCACTATTCCCGCGTCCGACGCACAAACGTCGTGTCGCTCAGAGCGATTATTATTAATTCAGCTACAACGCGGGAAGAAGGAAGCGGCGAGTTGATAGTCCCACACCACGCCGAGGGAATCGGCACCGGCGCCGGTGCGATGAGCGGTGTCGGTGAAACTCGAGCGTTGGTCTCGGCAACCTCTGCAAAGGTCGATCATCTTGCACCTCGAGGAAAGTGAGACCCCGAATAGAGTGGAAGCGGGTAATATCGTAATTGCTCGGCGCGAAATCGCTCGCCGGCGATTCAAGACAACGATACAGAATATACTTCGCGAGAGAGGAGAGAGAGGAGAGATGCTTCGCAAGCGCGAGGGGAGTCACAAGATGAGAACCTATTATATTTAATCCTTCGCTTAAAACTCGATTTGGCAAATGGATCGTTAAACTCGACGGTAAGACATAATGGGGTCCTCCGGTTCTGGACCATCTTAGGTATGCAGATTTCGGGAATTCAAAAGTAACGCGTTTGATCAAGGCGACAACGAAAGTTTCGGCTTTGGTGAAACCGGGCGCAATCTTGTCGGGGGATTAGTTTAGAAATGTGAACGGACCGCGGATGACGAAATTATTACGCTATCGAGCAATTGCTCAATCGTTAAGTAAACGCGCATCTTGAATCTTCAAATCGACGTCACGAAAATCACTTGCCATTCGTTTCAATTTTGCATCGTTAAATGTGATGTAGTAGACAATCTCGCAAGATGTGTCCTATTTCCGCGTTCAGCAAATCTTTTTTCAGAAAATAAAAGATGTTATAGTAGAAAAATTAGTTATTGCTGAAAAAGTACGGATTTTGAGACCAATAATTTCTTACTATTTAATAAAAATATATGCAAACGTGAAAAAGTTAAAAGAAAGGAAAAATATGGAAAATGTTGGATGATACATTCAATATAACTCTAGAAAATTGACAAATATTAGCATGAAATTTATGAACTTCTCAATAGTTACGAAAGAGCGATTTAAATTTTAATAGTCTCCAAATCCGGCGCGCATAAATCGTTGAAGACATTTATCATATATAAATCAATAATTAAATAAATAAGAATTAATATAATCGCGTGTAATATAGTCAATCTAAAAAAGGACAGAATAAGAATATGTAATATTTATTTTAAAAAGAAGTGACTAGAATTTTTCGTATTTCAATAAAACGTATCTTTATAAATGCAAAATAAAAGCGTTTTAGATCAATAAAATTTGGCCAGTTGGGTCGCTTACAATATCTCTGTTAATTTTAATTATTCACTGGCGACTCAAACTCTCTAATATTGCAAAATAAAAGTTTGCCGTACATTACCGCGTACGTTTGCAATATTTCATAATAAAAATCATATCCGGGTAGCTTGCGGAAAAAAGAACGAAGTTCGTGCTTATTATTGCAACGACGGCGATGGGCTGACGATGCGTACGAACCGGAAGCGTTTCACCGCTTTTCACATACCACGGTGATAATT